GTTACAGTACTGCATCAGAAAAATCTTCTGGAACATCCTTATCAGCAAGAAAATTAGTCGAAACAGACATTTTCAAGCCGACTGTTAACACACCTAGTCTCATACACACTAGAGATACTGATTCCTCAGATGATGAAGGTAACAGGAACTATGAAAACAAGAAGTACAATGAGTATGGCAAGGAAATCAAAACCTTATTAGCAGGTTCATTGAAGCCATCACTTAGTTATGAAGCAAAGAAACAAACCTCTTCATGGAAGACCAAGCCGAACACACCTGTATTACAATCCACAGCAAAAGAACCACTTAAGAAGCAACCACAATATAAAGCAGATGTGTACACAGATTCAGTCTTTTTCATTCGAATCATAAATCCATTGATTTCCTCTTCAACACTGCAGGAACGTATGATGGGCAGAGAAGCAGTTCATATGAGCAAGCTGAGTCGCTTCATTCAGATGAATCCTAAAGAAAGGGATTGGGTCATTGCTGGAGTTATTGTTAACAAGAGTTGTGCAAAAATGTCTCAAAAAGGAAGTCAATACAGTATCTGGACTCTTAGTGATTTACATGGGGATATTAAGACTGTGGCACTATTCCTTTTTAGTGGTGCTCATGCCAATCTGTGGAAAACTGCTGTGGGAACTGTTGTTGGAGTATTGAACCCAAACATTTTAGATAAGAAAGATGGGTCCAAGGATGAGGTAATAATTTTATATTGTCACACAAACTTATTAGTGTATAAGCTAAAATATACCAGGCATTTTGATGAGAAAAGTGTATGTAGACATAGGTTTGGTAAAGATTCTTTTTCAACATACATGCCAGCAGTTGAAAGTTTGTTCGTAAAAATCAATCACGTAATTCTACATTACAAGTGCTCATTTAAGTCCATATTCATTTAAAAGTTTGGTTTCATTTGTAAATAGAAATATTCAACATATTTTAAGAATTCTGGTTGAAGATTTATGCAGGGATATAGAGATACAGACCACTAAAGGGAACTACTGGGAATAGTGTTTTCTTTGGTAATTTTTAAATGACACAGTAATTCAAAGAAATTTTTACAGCATAGTAATCTGTTGGGGCCTCCATGGTGAAGCTCACATAAAACAACCCAGATTGCCGGGGATGTACTACCATTACTACAAAGCTGCTAAACATATTTGCATCCTTCATAATAATGGCTCATTACTGATGTTTTTGGAAAGAAAAAGTATTCTTATTTTAACATCTATAAAACGAGCCATGTTTGAGAAAAAACAACCTTGTTTCAGTACAGTTCTATTAACTTTGGTACTGGGTTCAGTTTCTGCGATTTTGAAAATATGGTAATTCTGATAATAGATTCGTAATCAGTGATCTGAAAACTCCCAAGTTCCCAGGGTATAGATTTTCGATCACTTAATCTAGTTCTAGACTCTAGTCAAACTGCAGTGTAAGTAATAAGATTTTCCAAACAACAACAACAATGGCTCCCTTTATCACAATCAAACAAGAATACCTGAATGAATAGGCATTTATTATTTTGGGCTTTCATTGTGTAGGGAAAAATAATCAGTAATTTGTTAGAGCTGATCGGTGCCTAGTGACTGAATTGAGTTAACTGTTTTCGATAGACACCATTCTGAGAGCCCCTAACTGGTGACTATGCAGTCAAAACTTCAATGATTCATAAAGTGTAGTTCAAAAATGGTGTACCTTAGTGACCTGTATCCCTGTAGAGGAGTCCCTTGTTGTTTTGCTACAGGAACTTATTGCATTATTGTTGAATCCAACATACATTATATTCTGTGACATCTGTATGTTTTTTTTGCAATAGAATCACCCTATGAAGATTGTCCTGTTTCTTTCATTCATAATTTTTATATGCTCATAAATGCGATATAAACCTTAAAAGTTTATAAAATTGTCAGTCTGTAGATGGGTGTAACTTGTATAACTTATCACTGTCATGTGCCTGTCATCAGAAATTCCATCAATGTTCTTGTAATCCTTTTCAAAATACAAAACATCCAAGATGCTAATGGTACATGTAGCAAAATGGACCTCAAAGATATCAAACATTCTGGCCTGGAAATACAACATAGTTAAATGAGCATTTTCCTTTCAGGCCACTCTTAGTGTTGACAATGCCCAGAAAGTGATGATATTTGGTCAGTCCAAAGACTTTGCTACTTGCAAGAGCACAAAGAAGAATGGAGAAAAATGCACTGCTATTGTCAATACCAATAAGTGTGAATATTGCATATACCACATCAAGCAAGAATACCAAAAATGCAGTTTAAGATCAGAACTCCAATCTAACTTCACTGGAAGAGGCCTTCATGCTCTTAGAAACAAAGTTTTGGGGAAGAATGAAGTTTTCTATGCTGGTAAGTCATACATGGCAATTCCAGCTAAGAAGAGCAAGAAGCTGGAACAGAGAGACAACAACAGACTATTGGGTTTGAGTGGTAAAGCACCTTTAGGTACCCTTAGTGCTCCTAGAGGTAGAGGTGGAAGGAAACAAACTGCTGCTAGGCTTGATGTTTCACCAGCACAAAGGATGAGGGATATTGAGTTGTTGAAGAAGTTGGGAGGTGGGTTGGAAAGCAAAAATAACTTCACTGGAATACAATCTGATGGATTGTCAATGGAGCAAGCTAAGCAGAATGCTGTTGGTATTATAAAAAAGCTCAAATCTAAACAGGTTGAGCCAGAAAATGCTCCTAAAAGTAGTCAGTATGATATGAAGATGGATTTGATTCTAAATGTTGATAATAAAACTAACTTTGAAGGAAAAACGTCTGACAATGTTACAACAGATGAATCTAGGTTAGCAGCATTGAGTTTGATGTCTAAATTGAGTGCAAACCCTTATTTGGAAAAGGAAAATGATCCAGAGGGTGAAATTGGTACAGGTTTCACAGATGAAATCTTAGATGATGATGATATTAATCTAGGATATGATGATGACTCTGATGATGGACCAATTAAAAGCTCAACTCCATCAAAAGAAGTTCATACCAACAACAAAACAGCAACAAACTCAGAAGAAAAACAAAAAAATTATGACAAATTGTGTAAGGTACCAAAAGAAAGACATGGGAATCCTGAGAAGTCTCCGACACAAATGCCTACAACCAAAACTCCTACAAAGTCTGATTCCAAAACCACAGAAAAGACCACTTTGCCATTGTCAAAGAATCAACAAACCATTTGTAATAAATCCACTGTAGTTCCAACAAATTCAAATAATGCTGAAAAGTCAACATCTTTATTGACACCAAAATCTAATGGTTTGAGCACCCCTATGTTGGCTAGTAAACAGATTTCTCATGAAAAAAATGTTTTTCAAACAATAGTCGATTTAAATACATCTGTCAAAGATACTAAGGAAAGTTCAACACCAAAAAGTGCTCATAAAGGACACCATGAAGAAAAAATCAAATCTGGGGCTCCTGCAAAGCATGTCAATAAACTAATTGCAGGCATTTCAAACTTGTCTAGACCAGATCTCTGTAGTGGTAATCTATTGTCAAAACCTATTCTATCATCAGATGGCTTTGGACCTAACAATATGATAGACCTTAGCAAACCTTTGATACCTAGAAGAGCAGATAAGGCAAAACTGAATGCAATAAAGCTTGTTCAAAAGATAGGACCAATAGAAAAAGCTGATCCAAATAATATTAGGGGCCCTGGGAAGAAACGTCCATTACCAGAGTTAGACAATAATCCTGCAAAGAAAAGCAAACTAGCTGAAAGCGAGTTTATCTCGGACCGATTCAAGAAAATGATGGCCGCTACTTCAAAACATATGGACTTACTAGAAGCTAGAGATGAGGAAGAAAAGGAAAAGTACTTCAATAAACTCGAAGTGAAAGAAAAGATGGAAGAAAAAATGACAAACACCTTTAAAATGGATTGCAAAGCAGTGAGGTGCCTGCAGTGCAAGTATACCAGTTTTTCTGCTTCTGATTTGTGCAAGAAAGAAAGGCATCCTTTGAAGGTGTTTGATGCTGTGAAGAGGTTTTTCAAATGCGGTAATTGCGGCAATAGAAACGCAAGTCTGCAGTTGGTACCTACCAGACCTTGCAACAATTGTGGAAGCGGGAAATGGGAAAGAACGGGGATGATGAAAGAAAAAATCGTAACGGCAACGCATAGCTTGTCTATAAGAGGCGGAGAACAGAAATATGTCAATTCTAATGTTTCAGATGCAAATATTAATCTTTTAGTTCCTGAAGCTGAATAGAACAAATCTTTTATTTTAGATATTTTATTATGCATTGCTTTCATACTTTGACTAAATAAATGTATTAAACTGTTAACTGACGTATTTTATTCAAATAAGCTGGATGTAACCAATAGTAATTATGATGTACTTATTTGTTCCGGCTGTACATATGTAAACGGTAATGAATGACGTCACTTTGCTTATTACGTTTACCGCATCAAGTCCTTTCATTTAATACCTGTATGATAATTGGGGTGACTATGGAAATTGTAAATCGCCATTTTGCAGTGGTCGCCATATGTTACTTAGTTTTTTGTCATTTCAAGTCTTTGCTTATTGTTTTCACAAAAAAATTGTAGTGGTTAAAAGTTTTTGGGTGGAGGTTGTGGGGAATGGGAGATGCTATATCTTGATTTTTTGACCTCAGATGCTTCGAACCCCAGTAATTCTACGCACCTATTAGATATATTTCACATGTGATAGATTTATTCGTACATTTGCTCTTAAAACTAGGAATGAGAAATATTTATGAAAGGCGCAGCTGTGGATATACTACCTGCGTAGCGGTCCAGCTGAATGTCTGTGTTTCACAGTCGGTAGTAGCTGCCGTCATTCATACGAAGTTATTCATAGCAACGTTAATGTGCACACGCAGGTTTTTTTTTTGGGAGTTGAAGCTATTTAAAATACCTGCCTCCACAACTGTTTTGAATAGCGGGGTAGCAAATTTTCTCAGGTGGTCGAAATCCTAAAATATGAAACATTTTAGCTGTATGAGCCTGTTTGACCAACTTGCAACATTTAATTTTTTGTTGTACACATGTTCGTAGCTAATTTTTTTCTCAGAGGAGCTAACTTGTGCCTAACATAATTATGAACTGATGGTACAATAACGCGAGAAGTTACTGATTATCTTATGATGTCCAAAAATGTTTAAGTTAAAACGCTGAGCGAGGGAAGTATTGTGATAAAAAATGCCGAATTTCAGATATTAAGTTTGATGTTTCCTCGCGCTTCCACATTATGGAAATCCATTACACCAATTAACAGCAGCATGCTGTGGCATCAAGGTAACTGTACTTCATTTTTGAAAATCGAAACAGTGACGGCGGAATTGAAATGCAAATAGCAAATTAGTTGCTCCAAACGTATTTTTGTATTGAATCTACCACATGCTGATCATTTATGGGCATTGTCAAAACTCTCCCAATTTTTGTCTCAAGTTTTCGATAATTTTAGGGTCACAGCTAACAACGTTTCAATGGGATCAGTCATAACGTCATGCAGCGAGGCTTTTGAGAAGGACATACAGTAATGATTACTCGAAGAGCATATCTGTCGTGATTTTTCGACGTTGGGAAATTTGATAAAAGTCGTATATGAATGCGGGGGAAGTATTAATAAGTCTGGTAATTGACGTCATTTTTTCGTCAGTTGTTATTCTTCTCACCTTTCTTACAAATAAAATCTCCTGAATCCAGCAGTTACAATAAGACCTCATAGCATCATGGTAACATTTGTCGTTCTGTGAAACGTAATCATATACCTAAGAGCTACGTTGTCCGTAAAGGTATGTAAGAAGTTCAACGAAGTAAGCAGCAAACTGTTGTCCAGAGGGTTTATCCAGCTGGAAAAGAAGCATGCATCCATTTATAAGAGAGTGAAGGCACTGTTGCCAAGACGCGAGTCTGAAAGGCGATTGCATCCGATGGCCAGACATTCTGACGTACTGCAAGCGGTCGAGACTAGGATCAGTATGCTCAACATGACGTACATGAAGTACATTGAGAGCAACTTGCTTTGCTTTATACCAGGGAAGGTGAGTTTGTTTTTGAGTAACGGCACTCTCTAATAATCCATTTTTACTCAAAATTGTTAGATCTTAAAATATAAGCATCTGAACATATGTCCGGAAATGTTTCGTTTTCGTTTTTCCAAACAAATTTTATTTTTTATAAAGCCAGCGATTTATCCTGAAACTGCCTCTTGATATTTTTCCTTCGAAATAACAGTTATTAATATAAATCTGTTCATCATTATAAATAGTAATCGCGATGTGACACGCTATCAAGTAGAATCAATATGGCTTTGAGAAAACTGCACTTCTTTTTGCAAAAACTAGAGGCCTAATTTTGTTTGCTAAACGTAGAGACGAGCAAGTTTAAACACCCCGTATCATGGAATAGAAGAATCCCTAACCAGTGTTTACATGAACTTTGTTTGTTGAATGATCTGCCCTCAATTCCCTGACAACATTCTGTGACAGCCTGTATAGAAACGCAGAGCTATCTACGGTGAGGTTCAAATTTGGCTGACATGGTTAGAAACAGTGCACTGATGGCAAGCCACTGCTGCGTCCGTGGTCTCGTCACTCGGGTTGCCAGGCAAAGAGGTGCTTCTATTTCTTTCTAACACACGTATTGCACACTTCTCTCTCGTACACATTACGACGTCAGTTGTAACTGGATTTCACTGTATATGCTATTTTCAACAGATAACAGCACTCTTTTGATTTTACCTCGCCTTATATACATATCTATTATCCATCTAATAATGGCACCAACAATATTTAAGGTATTGGACGAGATGAAACATGTCTTATCACTAGTGGAAAAAGATCATACACCCCCGAGAACACACCAGTTACTACAAGAACTGCGAGACCTGAGTAGCATGGCAATGGAACATTTTGATGAACACATCTTACCTGGCATCAAGGAACAATTAAATAGAAGAGAGGGTAAATAGAACATCTTAGTGCTTTTGTCAATGATGTGTATGAAATATGGTCCAGAATGATATTCCGTTTGAAATTGTAAAATTATTTTCAAATGCTTTCATATAACCTAACAATTTCTTATTTCAGTTCTCAACTGCACAGCATCAACATCATCAAAAGTACCAAGATTGTTCTATAACTACAGCATTACCAGTGAATTGCATAAAGTCAAGAAACAAAGTAAGACGCATAAACATCATATAACATTCCTTACTCAAAGTACGCAGAAACTATGGGAGAAGGTAAACAATTTTAAAATCCGCGTTTTCCAAATGTGGTAATTAATTAGTTTTGAAAAAAATTTGAATAGGTTTTTTATAATGTAAAGCTCCAACGTTCTGAAAACTGCTGTGGAGATAACAAACTATATATTGTGTTTTAGCATCCAAAAGTGATCTAAAAGTGCTAGTACCATCTAGTAGCAAGAGGTGGTAGTAAAACAAAAATGAATTTAGAAATTATCTTGAAAAGAGTTAGAACATCTGGCTCTCCTACTTCCTCATGAGATGGCGTAAGGATCTTCGTTCCTTTTTGGTCTATCTAATTGCTATTTTAATTGGGTTTCTTCAGTTGGAATACGTTAATCAATGCCTAATTAAGATAGGCATCAGACATGCCAAAAAAGGATTGAAGATGCAGCATCATCTAATATGGTTCCAAGTATTTTTAAGATGCCTTTTTAGGCGCTGGAATACAGTATATATGGTTGGCTATATTCAGGCAGAATAAATAAATTGCACATAGGTCTTATAGAATTATAACTTATTATCCACGTTTCGACGTTTATTGATATAAACAGCTGATCACCGATTGTCATGTTTGTTCGTAATCTTCGATATGACCCCAGCGTAACTAGCGCCATCTACTTCTAGCTTTCCAGATTACCCCCGATTATAACTATCATCTCACGGAACGGATTCTTCAGCTGTTGCTTTTTATTCTAGTTGAAAAGACAGAATGTACGCCTGAAGGCCCAAGCGGTGAAAATTCGCGAACAAGAGCGCAAGATCCAAGAACAAACGACTAAGATCCAGGAACAAGAAGGCTCATTGGCCGATATCAAAAAACACATTGATGAATGGGACCAAAAGTATAAAGATCTCACCAGCGACCTCATACGCGCCAAAGATGATATATTATCAGCTATGGTACATTCCAGGTATAGTATTTCTATGAGGATCATCAATTTGCGTTCAATATAAATGATTCATTAGATGATGGTAATTCCAAATATCATTTAAATTTTTATAGACGTCTTTTTATGTGGGGTCTTCAAAAGAAGCTCACAGAATCTTCATTGGAATTATGTATAAGTTAATTAAAAAGGTATTGTTGATCTCAGTGCCAAATTTTTATTTCGACAGAATATCAGTAGTAATATGCCTTCAAAAAGTATATTGCAAGTACTTTCGCTTTTTTTATGAACGTTTTTGACGCTTCTATCATACTTCACGCAAAACTAGCTCTTAACAGCTAGGTGCCACTGAACCTATCCATTGTTAGAAACTTACAAAAAGGTGACTATCGGTTTGTCAAATGAGCAAAGGGAAACCTTTGAGCAATATAATCATCTGCAGGCCCTCGACGAGCAGTCCGATGCCTCCAAACTCGCCGCCAAAATCGTACAAATCCAACATCCGCCCAAGGATGTCCCACATTCTGCCACGCAGCTGCATAAGCTTGCAGCTGGACCTAGAACGCAAGAGAAAGTCCAACTTATTGCCAGAGATTCCGTTGAAGCGATTGAGAGAGAAGGAAGAAACCAAGGTAGACGAACTGACGTTGAAGATACCATCTTTCTCGGATATGCAGAAGGAGGCTAAAAAAGATAGCGATCCACCGGATACTAGCACCTCCAGGTAATATTGAGGAGGACAAGGCGGAAGGTTTCCATCATATTTGAATTTATACTTCTTTTTGTTTGGAGAAAAATTGTACATCACTGGTTTTTTAAAAATAAGTGTCGTTTTGTCAAAGCCATATTGATTCCGCTTGAAAAGTGTCTCTTGATGTCACTTGTTAAACAAGTGCGAACTTGATCACTATTTTTTAATAATGATAAACGGATTGATAAAGTCATCTTTATTTAGAAAATCCTGAACAAAAAATTCCAAGAAGCATTTTTTAAGTACGACCAATCTGGCTTCAAGACACTGATACTGTTTTTGCAATAACCAGTGGCGTACTTTTACTTTGTATAAGCTTGCCTTGCCGACACGAACGCCTCTGATGTATGTTATTTAGAAACCAATATCGTGTATCTTAATGTGACCTTTGGTAACTCGTTTGGGTATAGCATAACTCAACTCAGTCAAGGTGAACTATCAAAGACGGACAGCTTGTATAATACAACAATAATAAGCAATGCATTTCCGCGGTTACGTTTATATTTCATTGTACTAAATCTGTTCTTTAAGTTATGTGGCAACATTCCCTAATACCCCGTAGATAGATAGCTGGAATATCTACCTTTAGAGTGTACATTAAACCTTAAAAGAGTAAAAGCTACCAGTTATATATTCTATTACTGATGCAAGATACTCGACAAAATTGTCAGACGGAAATCAAGAAGAAGATTTCTGTAGTCAAAAAACTGGTCACCTTTATTTAGCATCTCAAAGTACGAGGTCTGTAATGCAATACCCAGTTGTTCTTGATATGATGAACGGTGGTGTGAGTTAAATTCAAAACTTTTCTGTCAACCGACGATCTGAACGCACAAGATCCCGGATTTTGTCGATATTTTCATCGGTTCTTAAAGATGAAGGCCTTCCGCTTCGTGGTTCATCTTCAGTCGTCTTTCTCCCTTCTGGAAATGCCTTAAATCTCCGTAAGAATGTTTAGCAAAAATTTCCGTTGCACTGTGCCCAAGTGTGGGTCAAAACTATTTTTAGAATACAATAGAAAAAACTGTTCCACAAAAAAAAATCGCTACGGACAACCAAAGGACTCGAGCGAGTTCGAACTTGTACTGAAGCGGGTCACAGGTTCCTTGTCTCCAGTGTTGCCAGATCGAACGCTGCGTTGCCTGTCTCATTACTTGATTTACAGACCTCGTATACTAATAATGCTTGTTATATGAATTCCTCGCATTCTTTTGTAGTCACTTTTATTAGAAAGTAATTTTTTTAATATAGGTCTGTGAATTTTCAAATATTCACTATCTCTGACGGAAGCTTGTTGCAGGTTTCGGAGCAGTGATTTCAGCTCAATGATCAGCAGTTCATTAGAAAGTTTGCTTAGAAATAAACTGCCAGGCATAAGTTCCCGTAAAAGGAAAATGGCCGAAGATATTGACTTGAAGTAAGTCGTTGTAAGACAATTTTTGGACGATATAGATCAAATAAAAGGTGGTTATGTGCATCTGTGTAAATGTAAAATATGTTCGTATATCCCATAGCGTACATACGATGTTCATTTGAAGTTGGTTCACGTATATGGGTGTTAAATTGTTGGAAGCAGTCAGTTTGATATATTATTGCATGCCAGAGATATTGAGAAGTATTTAATGAAAAACAGTCGAAGTGATGTTTTCTACAAAGAAGTAAATATTTAGCACTGTTAAAAAGTGATGTTTCATTTGGAACACGGCATTAAAAAAAATAATGAAAACTTAAAAAAAATAAAGAAATACTGTAACACGTAGATTTTATGTGACATGGGAATTGAGTTCACCATGTTTTGGATCAGATTTGTTGTAGGTAGGAAATAATGGCTGAAAGTTTAGCCATATATGGTACGAATATTGGGTAAATTCTCAATTTTTAAATATACCTCATAATATTCCCATACATATGCCTCATTCATTCATTATAGCTACTCAACAGATCTTTTATTTGTCTATATCCTCCACTAATTTATCACAATCGGTCGTTGTATATAGTTTTTATGTGAAAGAAGCTCACATATGTTATGAGAATTCTTGTCAGTGTAAGATAGTATCAAACATTATTTGATATATCACCCATGTTTAACTAACGTCATATGTTTTCATTTAATATGTATCTCACACTAACGTAGCAATATGTGTTTCATGAACATTTTTCGATTTGGTACAAAACAAAACTGATATAGCAGTATTTCGAGTTGATAATATTGGGTTTCTTATATTACGCAAAAAAAGAAGAACTGATTTAGTTATTTAATAAGGATTCAGTTGTTTTTTAGTAGAGGATCTTCCACTATCGTTGATATCTGCATCGTACTATATCTATTGTTTATGGTTCCGACCCTTTCAGTACTTAGTATTCAGAAATTGTGATCCCCTACATTCGGTACCATTTCTATAAACTCGTAAAAGAGGTCTAGGCTGAGGAAAAAATGCGGTTGACATATCTGAATTGGAACTTTACCTAAAAGAAAAAGAAGTTATTTTGAACACATACGAGGGGTATCTCCTCGTATATTCCAAAAAGAATGTGCAAGATCCCACTGAGATTACATGCATCATAGTAATTATTGTCGTTAACAAAATATGGAAATTGTCAAAAATTAAGCGAAATGTAGCAAATAACATTTTGTTCAATTCAACGTTCTATTGAAAGACTCGTTCCGCAAAATATTTGAGCGTCTTGAGGTATTTTGTAGATTAACTTGATATTATATATTATATTTCGTTTCAAGGAGTTGTGAACGTGTAGAATACATGTTCCGGACTAACATTATAATGTTTTTCTTTGAATTTTCACTGTATTATTTTAGTTGGATATAGTATATATAGTACAGGGTATTCCGAAAATTGGGGTTGTCTTTTCAGACAACTACACTAGGAATACGAAAGCTAATGTGCGGCTAAGCAGCGCTAAAAGAAATGAAGAAATTTTCGTTTAATAAAAGCTTATATAGTGGCCACACGTTGCTTATAAATGCTGTTCGAAGTTGTCACCGTTCGACAAGTATTTTATATTGGTTGATATTAACAAGTCACAAATATGTTGCTCAGTTAATGACGTGCGGTATTTATTTTTTACATAATCAAAGTTTGACAACCGTTGTCGTAAACATATGTATGTTGATCCGAAACTACTTAAGAACTGTAATGCTAAGTCAGTTATGGTACCAATTTCCAAAAAATGTACAAAATATTCTGGCTAAATAAAGTGTCGCCCGCGGGCGTGGCGATGAGCAACCTTGCTCTAAATAATAGCTAACCTCTCCAATCTAAAAAAAAACTGTGCATTTTTAATAGTGGAAGGTTCGATATAGTATAAAATACGCATTATAACTGCAATGTAATGTTTCAATGAATGTGTTTATTGTGAATATTTCATGGAATAGATGCTAGGTTGATTGTTCTTGTTTTATTTCCACACCACCTTCCTAATATCCTTTTTCCGATTTTGTTTCAGTTAAGAGAAGAAATGAGTTTTGAATAAGAACTAATCTTTTGTTATCGACGCGACAATAAACAACAAAAAATTGTAATGAACGTTTTGTTATAAAATTACACATCTTAGTCATCTGATTTGATAGCAGAAATGCGGTTTGGTATTCGACCTACAGTGTGCTTCTGATATGAAATTGACAAGAAATTCCTCTAGTAAGGACCTCGCTTCTGCAATCCCGGTATTGATTTTCAGGAACAAACTCGTACACTAACCACCCGATACTCTTGGCTGAAACCCTCCAATTGAAGAAACAGATTTGGTATCAAAATAACAGAAACGTGACGAGATATTGGATTTGTAGTCTCTGCGGCTAATTTTAAATTCTAATAAAACCTTTTGTCACTTCTGCGATCCTGATATAGATTATCAGAAACTCAAACTCGTACAGCTACATACCCTCGGCTGAAGCTTCCCAATAGCAAATGAGATTTGATATCAGGATAACAGAAATGCGAGAAAGTGTTGGATCTGCAGTCTGGTCCTGATATAAAGTTGGAGGTAAATATTAATTCTAGTGAAGACCTCTCGACACGTCTGCGATCCTGATACTGATTTTCAGAAAAGCAATCAACGACCATCATCTTATCTAAAATTCTCGCATTGTAGGAACCGATTTGCTATCAGGATAACAGAAGCGCGAGGAGATATTGGAGCTGCAGCCTACTTCAGATATAGTGTTGCTTCTGCGATCCTGATTTTCAGAAGCACGAAATGGTACAACGACCATTATAAGCTCTTTGCTTAAATTCTCGAATTGTAGGAACTGAGATTTGCCATCAGGATAATAGAAACGCGAGGAGGTATTGGAGCTGCAGTCGGCTTCTATATAATATTGGTTTGGTTTGGTGGGGAATTTAAATTCGTTTAGTGGAGAGCTTTGTCGCTTTTGCGATCAGTTTTTAGATATCGAATACTCCCCAAACCCTTGCATTGTGTAGAAGCGATATAAAGTTTTTTAATCGATTCTCTGAACATCAACTGTAATTGGGGTGATGGTCAAATAATGTTGCGAAGTTGATTTAACCAGACTATATTCCTTAATCCGCCCGACAACATGAACCTCCTTCAAGATGTTTAATTAATTTTGCGAACTTAATTTCAGCTGCTCCCATACTTGGGCTTTGCATTCTTCCATATTTTTGCTTTTGATGTAAAATATAAATGACTAGTGTAGGGCAAAATAAAAAATACAGAATAAATACTGAAAGTTTTTATTGAGTTTCAGATTATACAGTACAATAAAATGAGTTAAAGCAATCTGTATTTGGATTCTGTTAGTTGTACAGTTTTTCTAATTTGTAAAAAAATTTAAACACGTATCATCTCTCTTAGTAACTAAGCAGTCGGTGTCCTTGGAATTTCAAGATGAATTTCAACAGAATTACTGGTCTGAAGTTTAAGCTGTATCACAAAATAAAAAATGAGTATGCCAAAAATATCTCGGGAGAATCATATTTTGAGTGTAGCGACTTGACACTTGATTGGTGACTAGAACGTAACCCCACATATCTATTGCACCTCTATTTGACACCCTATATAAAGAGAGCTTCGTTTCATAACTCTAGGAACGCCAAACTTCAGGAGTTCTTTCTGTTAAATACCACCCTCTGAATAAATAAGATATAAACAATTTTGCATTTTTGCTACTACGATAGAAAAATTATTAATACTTACCAAATTTAGTGAAAAAGTACGATTTTTAAAAAGTTTGGGCACATTGAGGTCATTATTAGATACCAAAAAATAATTTTCATTTTGATATCCCCTCGAAGTGTTCCAAATCTTTCATGATCACAATGCTTCTCTGATGCGCAAGAACTTAAATGAATGAAATACTGTTAACTTATTTGAGTTGATAATTAATATTTTTCAAAGATATACATACATGCATACCTATGTTTAACAACTTCTAACATGGTAGCAAATATGTCCAAACAAAGTAAATTACAAAATGTTTCGTTCAGCATGTCTCAGGAAAAATCCCGCTACTATTTCCAGGAGGAACTAGTTGTGAGTTGCAAAAAAAAAATTTAGCTAACCCATATAAGAATGACGTAGAATTACAGAGAATGTTTTAATCGTTTATACTTGCAACACATTCTATTTGATCAAAATGTATTTTTCCAACAACATGCTGGTAACCGAGTTTAGGTATACTAACAGATTTTTCATCTTTGACAACGTAATATCAAAATTGATGGCGATCAACATTAGGCAGATAGAAAAATGGAGTATATGATATCAATGTCCGAAACAACGACGATAGCACATAGCTGGTCCTGGTTGGATGTTAGGTAGAGAAGTAAGAGAATAAATCAGTTGATTAACGATAGGTAAAAGGCTTGCCTAGGATCTTCTACAGCCGACTCACCTTTCTATGGTAAATTATCTATACAGGGTGTCCGCAAAGTTGGGGTTTTCCTTTACACGACGTGTAGATCTTGAAAACATAAGCAATTTTTCTTAGTACCATATACACCAATGTCTTAAGGGAACCGAGATAAAGGGCTCTGCAACATCAAAAATATCTGAATACCGTCCTGTAGCCGCGACTCGCGACATCCCCAACTGGTACTATGACACTAGCTCAACCAGACGACAGAACTGGGTCGGGGGTCGGGGTCAGTGTGTCAGGTCAGTATGCAACCTTCAACCGACGGTTACGCGTGTAGAGGTAAACGAACCCGTATAATCGATTGCGTTTCAAAAAACAACAAGCACTAGAGACGTGGCTAGAGAAGTGCAAGTATCAAAAACTAAAGTGTGGCAAACGCTGCGTGAAGAGGGGCTGTATCCGTTTCACGTCCAACGTGTACAAGCCCTTCAACCTGACGATTTTCCAGCAAGAGTGTGGTTTTGTGAGTGGTTGTTGCACCAACATGACAATAATCCGGACTTTTTGAAGTGCATCTTGGTGACAGACGAATCTACGTTCACGTGTAACGGGGTGAATAACTTTCGCAACACTCATGTTTGGTCAGTAGAAAATGCGCACGCTGTCCGTCGGGCACATTTTCAACAAACATTTTCGCTGAATGTTTGGGCTGGCATGGTGAACGGTATGCTCATTGGACCATTTTTTCTTCCAAATCGATTGGACAGGATGCAATACCTAGACTTTTTACGCAACATTTTGCCTTCCTTGTTAGAAGATGTGCCATTAAGTGTAAGACGATCAATGTGGTTTCTACACGATGGTCATATTTGTTACCTCTGTTCGTGGTCTACTGGTCTGCACCACCGCCGGCGTCTGCTCGGTAGCGCATTAGCTGATTTCATTTTCTGTTGGAGCGGTATGATTTCGGGCCCTTCTTGTCAACTGGAGAGTGAGTACTTTTTTCTTTATTTTTTTTACTTGGTCGCCCTCGTTTCACTACACATTACCTTTGTTATTTCAAGGGTAGGTGTTTCTGAAAACGAAAACCCCAACTTTGCGAACACCCTGTATGTCTGAGAATTCTATTTTCCCCCGAAATCTCTTCAAGATATGGAACATTGTTTTCGAATCAACTTTGCTTCATATTACTTGGGCAGTGTTTGTTTGCATACGGCTAATGTTCAAGAAATGTCCATCCTTGTTCCAGGCGCCATTTTCTAAGTGAAAAGTTTCCTTACAAAATTTTAAACCAGCGCTTTCCAACTATTTAGCAACAATAACATTGATCAACATCAAGTTACTCAAATGGTGCGATTCGGTATTCGAAAGCAGAACTAGACTAGAATTGTAAACGAGTACACGAATGTTATCTGAAACCACAGCAGCAGTCATTGAATGGCGGTGCTCGGCGCTCCTAGCAGCCAGTTGAATTCGGAATCGAATGATTCAACAGAGTATTTACATCTCTAGTTCGATGTTTCAGAGCCATTTCTATCATATTAAGACACATAAAAGTAATTTAGATTTTTTCCAACATCAACATTACGTGGTCAAGTATAAAATTTTAAATCCTGACTAAAAAAAAAATAAAAATCTGGTGAGGATAAATGCACTGTGCTACGATACTAAGATTCATATTTATGAATATACTCTATTAATAAAATAAATGTCATCTAATTTATGATTCAACGTTTTTCGTAACATGTGGAAAACTTGGAAACTCGATTAAAATCAAATATAAAATTCTACGCACCGCATCGTGGATTAAAAAAAATCGGTGTATTTGTAAAAGTGACTAGATTCACAGAAGATAAAATAACTATATATTGGAAGTAGAAAATCTAATAGTGAAATACACGTTTTTATAGTCACTAATCACAAATACTATATTGTCTCACTGTAAAATTTTTTCTTAGAAATTAATAATAGACTTGTACTAAAACATGGGTATAATATAATAAATATATGATTATTTAAATATTTTTCTTAAGAATCTAATAAAATATTAACCTCACTATCATACGTTATTGTTAGTGACAAAAAATGTTGAAAACAAATATAAATAAATAAGTATATAAATATAAAATATATAAAAAAATCCGACTCACTGTGCAACCTATCCAAATTATCAAAGCGAGTCTTTTTGCAAAATAATTTTAAAAACCATATTACAACACTTAATTGACTGGTATTTTTCTACAATTGGTACCCTACAATTAAAAAACATACACAAAATGTACATAAAAAGTAAGTACAGTGCCAATCTAATTATATCATATATGAATATCAGTAACACTTTTTATTGTTTGAATTCATCGTACTTTCTGAATATGAGGTAACTTATCAGTCCTAAGATGTGTAAATTTCCCGTACTAACTGAGAAACTATATATATCAAGAATACATTTTGACTGATCTTTTCATCTGCACTTCTATGTCGGCTAAAGAGCCATACGTATAGAATTCTTTCAAGCTACGAGTAGATATTCTCTCCTTTGCTTGTTATGATTTTTTCGCCAGAAGTGTGGTCAAACTTAGTGAAGTAATTTAATAAGTTCTTCGATCCAGTTCGAGGAATCCCTTTTGCTAATAGTTAGACTAAAATATCATCAGATTTTTGCCTGTCAACTCTGAAACTCATCCTGTGGTTGTATCTATAGTATATTGAAAAAATGACTCACTTTCGCAGTGGTCGATGGTGCTGCCTTATTTCAAAAGTAGAACTTAGAATTCGAATATTACATTAATATTGACACGATTTGTCGTCCAGATGGCAGAGCGCTACAAGTATGTACGTATATGGTCAATAATTAATAAGCTCTGCTATATTTTGAAACAATACCATACTAAAATAAAATGCTCCACACCAATTCCTCGCCTATTATCGGTATTCCGTTTTATTACTGATTACTTCTAATTTAGACATACTCATTTACTCGTATTTTCTGCTGAAAGTCGGATTCCAAAGCATGAATAAGGATTTTCGCGATTGGCATTAACCCCATACAAATCTTACTGAAGTACGGACACTTTACACATCTCCTACTTACGAATATCAATCAATGTTTAGCATACAAATTAGAACGGTAGAGTTTTTATTGGTTTGTTGCGGGCGAAATGCAACTCCAATTAGTACGGTGACTGTATACATCGCGTGCGCGATTAAAAACTAGTTTGATTGGCTTGAACTGACAGTTTAGCTGTCATAACTGGAACTGTTATGGTGGTCAGCGTGTGGAGATGGTGGCGTTGACACGTTGGAGCTGTTATTGCTGGCGATCGAGTGCCGGGGACTGCTACGCGTCTCAGTACCCTATGGATATAGCAACAGTCAAGTTTATAACATGTAAAAATTTCGTGCCAAATGAGTGGCATGATCATTTATGATTTTTATCTTCGGAAGTACTCTAAATATTATTTTTTATTTTAGCATGTAAGAGCATGACATGTTTTAGTATAAAAGATCGTTCTATTGCGCACCAGTGGCGTCCCTACAAACAATGTCTTGTGATACATCGAAAGAGAAAATAGTAAGAGAGTGTTTTTATGTAGAAATGATCAATGTAACTAGAAAACGTATTCACGATGAAAAATATCAGTGGCGCTCCATTTTTTTTTTTTGTAAAATATACGACAAGACATTTTTGTAGGGACGCGCCACAGAATAACTTTTTACACTAAGAGTTGCCATTTCATATCCTACTATAACACGCCAAAAATAAAATTAGTATCTAAAGATATAAAATAAAAACATGTTTTCTTAAAAATGTAAGAATGTAGCTAAGAATTCAAGTCATTGCGGACATAGGTATATATAAACTTTTCTTCCCCAAGTTATTTGAGGAATCTCATCGTGGAGTATTGATATAAGGGTGGGCCATAAAGGTGTTGGCAATTTCAATATTCAATTAAAAAATAACTACGAAATAAAAAAGAAAAATAAATGTATTTTTACATAGTAGAAAGATAGGATTTTTTAAAATAATGTTGTTCAAATGACTTCCTTCGGTTGCTTGGCACTCTTGAAACGGAAGCTGCAGATTTTGAAAATCTCGTTGAAAAGTTGTTCTCGGTATTTTGTTACTTTCTTGAACAATATTCCTCTTCAGCTGCTCTAAATTAGTTGGATTATTCTCGTAGACCACCGATTTGATGTAGCCCCATAGGAAATAATCGCATGAAGAAAGATCGGTTCTACGTGGTGGCCATTCAATATCCCCCATTTTGAGTTTTCCGGGAAAGACATTTTTCACCAGCTCTACAGATACCCTAGATGTATGACATGTGGCCCCATCTTGTTGAAACCACATTCTAGAGGTATTGCCTTGGAGTTCTTGCAAAGCTGGCGCCAAAAAGTCTGTTATCATATTGCAATAATTGTTAGCTTTAACTCTCATCGCTTGCCCTCTTTCGTCCTCAAAAAAGTACGGTCCAATAATACCGGTTGACGAAATTCTAGGGCTGTGAAGTGGACATTCATGCAAGCGTCGGGGATTAGTTTCGGACCTGAACCGACAATTTTGTTTGTTAACATGGCCATTGAGGTGAAAATTGGCCTCATCACGTTGTTAAAACTGTTGAATCGGTCGAGCATCAAATTGACAAAGTCGGTTATTGGCATCATCTGGTTTTAATCATGGACTAGTTGAATCTTATAAATTTTCAAATGCAAATCACGCTTTAAAATTCGCCGCAAGCTCGTTCTTTTGATGTCCAAAGCCTGACTTCTCTTACGTGTTGACAGTTGCGGATTTCGCTGAACTGAAACACGAACATGCTCTACATTGTCGGCTGATTATGCAGAAACTGGACGACCACGAGCTGTTATTGCTACTGTCGAGCCGGTTGAATCGAACATTCTGATCCATTTCCGTATCACATTGGCGCTTGGAACTTTCCAGGCAACGGAGCGGCTAACAGCTTATCCCTTCCCCCAACACGCGCCCCGCGTTTCCGAGAAATTTAAGATTTAAATCGCCAACACTGTTATGGCCCACCCTGTACATCATTAAGGAACACCCTGTATAGTCCCATTTGTCAGGTGACGTTGAGTAATGAGTAGAGAACACGTAGACCCATACAAACCTCCAAATCCCTTAGATAAAAGTGCGCGAGCGAGATTTTAGTGTACCTGGAAATTTAATAGCTATTTTCATTTTCTGGAATGGAACGTCCAACTCACCTTGATCATCTCGTGCAGGGACGACATGCTGCCTATGCTAGCCGGATCCGGCGAGGGCGATGTGGGCTCGGTAGATGGGGCGGGCGTCAGGCGAGGCAGCGCCGGCGGCAGTTCCCGGGGGCGGGCGGGGGCCGGCCGTTTAGCGCCCCCGTTGTACGCGGGGAACTGCGGCCGGACCGGCGTTGGGTTTGAGATTTCGGGACGCTGCTTCCGTTCCGCTGTGCCGCCACAGCTGCTCCCGCTGGAGGGCTTTGGAGGTAGTGGCGCCATCTTCGATGGCTGGAAAAGGGTATGGAAACAGGTGTGATAGTTATATAATGTGAAAGCATCCACCAGTTATCTATAACTTTAACGTTACAGCTCAGTAGGGAATATGCATTTGATTGAAATGCCGGTTAACTATTTTTATTTACAGTCTACAATGCTGCAGAATAACATCTTCAGTCTTATTTTATACTTAAGTGCTATAGAATTTTAAATATTAATTAAGATGCGGTAAATTTAAAATATCGAAACAGAACGCTGTTCGCGTTACGTTACCATGTGCGACTAGTGACCAGTCAACCCTTTGTTGTCTGGTTGATTGGATTTTAAACGGCATACCTTTATCACCATGTCAACCTATGTTTGAGGTTTGACCAGCTCGAAAAAATACAGTTATTCATATTGTTGTTTTTACAACTTTTTTGTGTACTTTAGACCACCGACAGACTTGGTACTTAAGGTATACCCTTACAGAGTGCAATCAACCATGACTGAAAGCAGTTTTCAAAAGGCAAAGTCGTTTCTTCGGAAAATAGGTGTTTCGTAATATACATAAATAAAAATAATCATATTTGGGCAAAATATCAGTTTTGTGTCCTGTACCGACGCTAAAATCATAAAGAACGAAATTCACAAATGTGTTAAAATATTGCGTGGGTTACGTTCCCATAGCAGAGAGTAAATTAATAGATATCAACGAGGCAAATTTTTGTATGTCGGGTATGAACAGACTTTTCCATAATTTAGGGACAGAATCAACGGACTTTTCAGGCTTACCCTTGGCTGAGGCATTGCAGCAGTATAGCTATTATGCTCCTGTAGGGGATCAACCAGACTCGGGGTCAAATCAATCAACCTCTGCCTCTGAATTCCGTCTCCAGGTCCCATGTGACTTATGTGATTGAAGTTCGTCGGAGCAGATATTAGCTTAGACCGCCTATCGGTGTTCCTGAAAAAATTAGTATCCATAAAAAATAACATGTTTATTCATGCAAAAAAAAACTTGCATGCAGAAATTAGTATTTTTACAATATCGGCATTTATTCAATTAAACGGTTAGGTTTTTAACTTCTTCTCAGCAATATGAATTACTTTTTGGAAATATATTATCTCTTTTCACAGTTTTACACGTTTCTCTTAGCATCGCGAGAAATATGAAAAAATACTTTATATGGTACGTTCTAACGTAATTTTGCATATAGGTACAACACAGTACTTACGGTTTCCGTTTTTCATCCTTGCTTCTGCTTTTTAAATTTAAACTAGAGGATATAAAATAGAACTTGACAGCAAATTAACCAAAAAGGCAAACCAATGACAAGTCGAGGGTTATTACGTCACTAAAAGGCGCGCCAAAAAATGCGGCGTTTAAATCAACGACATTGGCATTCCTGTTTTGAATATGTATTTAATTAAACATAAATACAGAATGAAATATCTGTTTAGGGACAGAAAAAACAAGAAAAATCGGTATCCATAAGAAAACGTGTTTATTCATGCAACAAAAACTTTCGCGCACAAATTAGTATGACTGATTGATTGATCACAATAGTCGTACTTTATTTTCAAAGTCCGGGATCTGTTGTTCTAACTCGGCGCGCATATTCGCAGTTTTGACGGAACGTTTAGATGAGGGTTTACAAGAAAATACAGTTTAAATTGTTGGCACTCGAGATTGAATGTTTAAACATTTTTTAATGAAAATTGTGTAAATCCATACAAGCCCAAGGTATTAACGAGCTGAAGCTAAAATACATTTCAAGGGAGTAGATATTGGTTCTGATGAAACATTTTTTAAATTAGCGTTCGCATTCACCCGATTTAATCACGCCTGGCTTTTGAGGATATTTGAATAAATATTGTGTTTATGAATCGACTAAGTCACATCTCCAACTTGACACAATATTTGTAAATATTATCATATATAAACATCGTGGAAAGTTATGGATAAAGCTACGGAAGAACACGAGTACGTGAAGCAGAAGGTTGAAGACTGTTAGGAGGATCATTCAAACCCAGTTTTCCACATTATAAAATAAATAAAAAAATGTTATAAAAAATTTCGAACCATTTTGCGCGTACTGAAACATAGCACTTACATTCTTTGCGATCTATTTCCTTCCCTCAATGAAAATCTTCGCCTTGTCTTTTGTACAGTTCTTCCTTCTCTGTCTAAAGTTACTATATTGTCTAAGTTTATCAGTTCTCCTGCAATAAAGTAAAGATCTTGGAGCTGATTCAAATAATTATGCGGAATACATATTTTCGCCACTGAAATCACAAATGAAACAGAAGATGACAAATAACTTACTCTGATGAATATTGGAAAGGTATAACAGATGTGCAAAGTCATTCAACAAGCAAAGCGTGAGGCTTCCACTATCGTTCAAAGGCTTCGACTTCTTTATATTGATTGTTTGCACCCACTCGCCTGTTGTACAATTGAACACGTCTATGTGAGTTTCACTATAAACGACTAGGTACCCATCACGGTAAGCTGAAAACACGGTAAAATGTATACAGCAAGTCATCATTTAAGGTTAGTTTATAAACTATGACGTTAATCCTGCGCTCGACGTTAAACTGTTTATAAATACGAATTCCGCAACGTTCGTAACGCTAACGCTAGACTTGACGACCTTTCAAATTTTCTCTCGTTGCCATTTCCGATTCAACTAATGAAGGGGAGCCTGCAAATCACGTGTTTGTTGATTTTCAGCGTGCTTGTCACTCTGTTTGACATATGTTTTGTTTTGCTTTTGCAATCGGTGTGACTTCCTTTTTACTTTGAGATTGTTTGCTATATTTTATTTGTTTTCTTTAAATAATAATAAGTATTAGGAGATGTGTGTTACAAGTGATGAAGACACTGAATCTGATCTGCAGATAAGTAAGTTCTTCTAATATGTGAAAATATTGCAATTTTGGTTTAGCCTATGAGTAATGCGCCGTAACCTTAATAAGTTTATAAAACGGTTTTAACTGCCAGCAGCAACTTCAGAGTTAATAAATCCACCTCAATACTGAACATCAGACAGCGTACGTACGTAAGCAATAATTGACGCACGAACATATTTAAATACCATAAAAAATCAATTATACTAAGTGACATATAAATCCGAACACCCAGTTTAAATGGTTTTATTTTGATAAAAGTTGGTGAATGTATTTATCTTACTGCAAATAACAAGTGAAAAAATGTTCAGCCTTATCAGTTGGACATTCCGGTTTTTATACTGCTTTTTTTAACGCTCTAAAAATGAATATTTCAGCCGTAGTAAAGAATCAACGTTGGCGGATTTTGGTTCTTGACATCCTTTACGATCGGTTACGATGCCTAGAGTACGGAGACCTGTACGATTCGTCAACTTAGTGAGTTTGGTAGTTGCCGTATAGTGGGACTTCGGGAAGCTGGACTTTCTTTTCGGGCAATTGCAGTTAGAGTGCAAAGAAGTGTAGACACTGTGGTTAGGTGTTGTCACGCATGGCTTCGAGAAGGCCGTACGCAAAGAGCAAGGGGCACTGGACGCCGCCGTAGAACAACAGACCGTGAAGATCGCCGCCTAAGATAATTGGCCTTAAGGGACCGTTTCTCCACTACCAGGTCCATTGCAAATGAATGGTTTGCAGAACAGGGAAGACCTATTGGCATGCGAAGTGTTTACCGACGAATGAGAAGTTTTGGCTTGTTTTCATACTGGCCACACTGGGTCCTCCCTTTAACTCGAGAACACCGAGGTAATCGCCTTGAGTGGTGCAGACAACGGTCACTCTGGGATCAGGAATGGAACAGTATTGTCTTTAGTGACGAGTCTCGATTTTGTTTAGGCATGCACGATGGTCGTGCCAGGGTTAGAAGGCGACGTGGTGAAAGGAGGAATCCACAGTTTTCATCATCATCAGAGGTAACATGAACGCGCAGCGTTATATCCACGAAGTTCTAGAACCCCATCTTTTACCCTATCTTCACACCCTGGCAGATCCAACTTTCCAACAAGATAATGCCCGACCACATGTTGCAAGAGTCACAATATACTTCTTTCAACATAATGATGTCACATTGTTACCATGGCCACCAAGATCTCCCGACTTATCCCCAATTGAGCACGTGTGGGATATGATGGGTAGGAGATTGCTCAATTTGCAACGTCCTCCTCAGACTCTAGAAGCACTTCGAGAGGAGTTGGTGGTTGCCTGTAACGAGATACCACAGGAGGACATTGACCACCTGATCAGAAGCATGCCTAGGCGCGTTGGAGGGTGCATCCACACATTATTAAAGGTCAAAGGGCTTTAAAGCAGTGCAATCATTTTGAAATTTTTATCATTTACTTATTATGCTTCATTAAGTACTTATACAAAATTTTATTAAAATAAAACCATTTAAACTGGGTTTTCGGATTTATATGTCACTTAGTATATAAGTAAAATACTATTCTTCCACTTACCTATTGCTGTAGGTATTGCAGGATACATAATCTCCCTATCTCTTGATTTCCTACCATGCCTATCTACATATGCTGCCAATGTGGAAAAAATTAACAAATATTCGTGCCTTGGCAATTCTATCACTCTTAAAGCTTCTACGTTGCTACAATTCAAAGTTGGACAGAGAGGATTCTCTGGATGTAATAACGCTGAAAAGATAAACAATCAGTAAAAGTTAAATCACATGAGCACTAAGCACAGTATTCATTGTATACTACGTGAATTTACTCCAAATGATTTCGGCACTGTTTTCATGTTTTGGAATAAATTTTAATGATTCTGTACTGCAGTACAAAGTTTCATAAGGCGTGAATTACACGTATTATCACCAATCTGTCATACAGCTGATGGTACTTACATACAAACTGCTGATCTCCACTTTGCAGATTGAATACGGTAAAATTGGACATCGACCCAACACACAGCCTACCGTCAGATAAAAATTGTAGCGATTGCACATTAACAGACAGACTGATCTCACGCACTCGTTGATGTCTAGTTTTTGTACGAGTTATTTCGTAGACTATTATCACCGAGGAATTCTGTTGAAAGAAAATTACATTTTGTAGTAGATTATGACAAGTCCGGCAAGTTTTGCAGAGCCGATATAACAGAAGTAAGACCACGATGGTTTGCATATACAGGGTGTCCCAGAAGTCGACGTCAAGCCGAAACCGGGTGATAGGCAAAGTCATAACAGCTATCAGAAAAATATTTAAAAAAATTTTATGTATGTGCTTTGAAAATTATAGGTCTTTGAAAAAATAAAGAAATTTCACACCCTACGGCAGTCTGTCAACTCCTGTTACTACAAATATTAACTTTTTTTGGATTTTATTTTTACAATGTAATGATGAATAATGCATCTTCAAACTGGTGTCTCAACCTTACTGCCAACTTTTCTCGTTCAGGAAAAATTGCCACTTATTTCCCACCCAAGTATTCCAAAGTAAAACTTTGCTCAACTTTAATTGGCTGTACTGGAAAAAATGTACTACGAGAGTTTGGCAAGTAACCTTAAAAGTTGGCGCATTTAATAAGGATTCCAAAATGGTATAACAGTTAGAAGATTACTCGTTAACTTATGCACAATTTTTATTTGAAGAAAAACTGATGAAAATTTTTCAAAATTTCCTAATTAAACAGCGATTATGAAAACGCACAAGGACCCTTAAGGATAACTGTTTGCACAACAGTGGGCGTCAAAATGCTGCTGATGATGATTTACCTTTACAGCAAATGCTCAAACTGATTGTGCAGTGCCGCTATGTCCGTGTACACCGTACAAGAATATGCTAACATGCACCTCATTTATGGGGAATGCAGATGCAACGCTAGTGCGGCAGCGAGACTTTACTGTGAGAGGTACCCGAATGCAGCTCGTCATCCAGATCATCGAGTGTTCACAAATGTGCACCGCTTACTGTTCTCAGAGGGCCAACTACCAAACCAATCACACGGTGAGGGAAGATCTTTCTTTCCTTCCTTACTTCAGTGCGTGCAATAGAACTAAAAACAGGTGTGCCCAAAAGTACAGCCCATAGAATCTTGCAAAAAAAAAACGTGCTCCATCCATACCACGTACAGCGTGTTCAAGCTCTTCTGCCCCGGGATTATGAGCCCCGAGTTGCTTTTTGTCGCACAATATTAGAAAGACACAGGAAAGATCCACAGTTCTTTGAAAAAAATTTATGGTCGGATGAGACCACATTTAAGAAAGATGGGTTCATGAACCTGCATAACTTACACGAGTGGCACGTAGCAAACCCACATTTGATGAGAGAAGATAAATCTCAATATCGCTTCAAGATAAACCGTTGGACAGGAATTTTAAATGGTAAAATAATCGGTCCGTTTGAGTTCCCAGAGACTTTGACTGCTGAAGTTTATTTGGATTTTTTGAAAAATCATGTACAAAATTTATTGGTGGACGTACCACTGAGTATTTACAGGGACATGTGGTTTCAGCATGATGGCTGCCCAGCGCACTATGCACTCTCAGTAAGAGAGTATCTCGATCAAAACTTTCCAGGCAGATGGATAAGGCGGTCTGGTACAATACCGTGGCCAGCCCGATCACCTGATTTGAATCCTTTAGATTATTTACTGGGGAACTGCAAAAGAAAAAGTGTATTTCAAGCCGATTCAAAATGTAGCTGATCTACGGCAAAGACTATTGGAAGCAGCTGAGTTTGTTAATAACCGTGGATTCGCTCGTTTAATAACCCGATCTTTTTTAAGAAGATGTCGAGCGTGTATTGCGGCTGAAGGAAAACAGTTTGAGCATTTGCTGTAAAGGTAAATCATCATCAGCAGCATTTTGACGCCCACTGTTGTGCAAACAGTTATCCTTAAGGGTCCTTGTGCGTTTTCATAATCGCTGTTGAATTAGGAAATTTTGAAAAATTTTCATCAGTTTTTTCAAATAAAAATTGTGCATAAGTTAACGAGTAATCTTCTAAGTGTTATACCATTTTGGAATCGTTATTAAATGCGCCAACGTTTAAGGTTACTTGCCAAACTCTCGTAGTACATTTTTTCCAGTACAGCCAGTTAAAGTTGAGCCAAGTTTTCCTTTGGAATAGTTGGTTGGGAAATAAGTAACAATTTTTCCTGAACGAGAAAAGTTGGCAGTAAGGTTGAGACACCAGTTTGAAGATGTATTATTCATCATTACATTGTAAAAATAAAATCCAAAAAAAGTTAATATTTGTAGTAACAGGAGTTGACAGACTGCCGTAGGGTGTGAAATTTCTGTATCTTTTTCAAAGACCTATAATTTTCAAAACACATATATTTTTCTGATAGCTGTTATGACTTTGCCTATCACCCGGTTTCGGCTTGACGTCGACTTCTGGGACACCCTGTATGTGAAGCGTATTAAAACAGCATGATAAAAGAACATGGCTTAAAAAATAAGATATCTATTCATAAATATCAATAAGCCTGCCCATTCTTTATATTCCAAGCTTTATTGGTATAAAAAACTAGCGTTACATAAATTATTTCACAAAAAATGCAGCTATCTCCAAGATTATAAGATTTGATCAGCACTGATGGTCTACTTTTTTCGAATACCTTCATATTCAATTTTAAATTTCATAAATTGATATAAGCATTTTTGCTTGGGAAGATAATCATTCTCACCTGTTTTTTGATAGCAATACACAAACAGAACGTTAAAGGTGCCCTAAGCACTGGTCCTATGGTTAATACATTGCACCCTTTACTTTCCGTCACTTTTATCCATTCCACGTCATCTCCGTCCAAAGCCCTTATAGGTACGAGTCTGACTTGCCGTTGTTTGCCGCCTACTATTACTAAAAGGTGCTCTTCGCTTATGTATTCCAACTGGAAAATCTTTTTGCCTTCGCCTATTTTCGCTATTTCACTTCGGTCCAGATCGATGCAATACATACCTTCCTCAGTACCTGTACGAAGAAATGGGTTTTAGGAATGAGTTCTATTTTCAAATGACACTTTACGCGGGTGATTTTTGTATTTTATGACAACAGAAGATATCGTAAAACCTGTAAGTTGTCGCCTAGTTAATTAGCTTTTATTACTCTACGCGTGAGATTACACGAATTAGTTTACTATTGGAAGAGAACTTTCAGTTTGAAATTTCTTAACCTGCGAACCCCGCCTTTAATATAAAAATTGGAGAATTTATTTCTGAGAGTCCTGCCGCAAATATTAGAAGTTTGCGAGAAGTTTCACGCCTCTTTAATTGTGTTTCAAAAAACCCATCATTTTGCAAAAGCACAGACGTTACAAAGTTTACATCTTCTGAAAAACAGTATGATGTAACATAGGTTTCTGCACCTGATGGAGATACAAACGTAACACCACCTCTGAGTTTTATTTTTGACTCTTATGTCTTGTATTTTTATCCTATTTATAAATCTATCGGTTTTTCTGTTCTGAGGTTAATTTTGCTGATATCTGAATATAATTCTGAACGAATTTTTAGAGCTTGTGCGAAAATTCCTTTGCGTATCATATAAAACTGTAAGCAGTAAAATTAAAGGTAATAAGGTGTAAATACGGCATGACGTACCCAAATTCTATCCACAAATAGTTACTATTATCGATGATTTAATTGAGGCAGACGATGGATTTGGTTTCCTAGTAAAATTATGATGTCAGTCAATGGAAAAGTTAAATCAATGGCGATTATTAGGATGAAATTTTGATGTAAAACCACAATGTTAATCTATTTACACGTTTATTAGTCTTCCAAATGGTGAATAGGTGTTAATTTTCAGCGAACAGACCTTTAAAATCACTTTTGAAAATCGATTGTACTCTTTTGTTAGTCAGAGTACTGATTTTTATGATCCAAAGTAGTAACTCCCATTTTCGAGCTAGATCTGCTTCCAAACAATCATCTGATGAAGAAAAAATACCGAATGTTAACTGTCAGAAAAAAGATCCAAACATAACAAGGTTCACATATGGAAAAATACGGTTATAAGAATAGGAAAAAATAAATTATACATTAAAAACTGGCACAGTGTCAGGAAAGTTCTAAAGTAAACAGGGTAGGTTCCTCCCAGTTTTGATAAGATCCATCTCATCTGTGTCATAACTTATATCCAGCGATGTGCGTTGTTTTTGAGTTGTTCGAAAAATTAATTTCAGCTATTATTTCCCTGTTGTAAAATAAATGGCAAAACCTACAGGTAATTGTGATAAGCGTATATATTTCGCATTCAAACTCACCCGCAGTTTTTTCTTTTGTGTCAGCTACACTATACATATGTTCTTTATTTAGTCACATGCGACACAACTGAATAGCCTTTCTGGCAAACTCACCTAAGGTAGTCGAAGTTAAAGAGGAGGTGGCATAATAAAGCAAACAGCGACGGGCCTACCCGGCAACACGCACGTATGAAGCGAAATAAATGGAATAAATCAACATTTTTTTAATCATTATACTGTGTAACTTACCTAAAACTATCCTATCCGGATCAATGATCGCAGCGCTAAGCGTATTCCTAAGCAACGTCAACGTGTTATCGATAAGTTCTCTCGCTACCAAAACGGTGGTGTTGGGCAGATTGTTACGTTTCATGATCCGGTGTAGTTCTGCCAAAGCTACCACCCATTTATTCTTTTCAGCTTCGGTATCTGCCAACATGAGCGTGGAATTCCTCGGACCCAGCGGTTCCATTAACGAAGTGGTAACCTGGGAAAAGCGAGTCAAGTAGATCGCCTACATACTTCCTACATCCTAAATAACAGCACGCTTAATAAAACAACATTTGTTCACGTTGTATCAACTACCTCAAAATAAACCATGCAGCAGAAAATTACAATTTTAACTTATTAAAATCCCCTTCCGTTCAAATACTTTGTGAGAAACAAATCAGGATAAAAGTAATCAAGAACCTGAATACATCAGCTGGTACAAAATGGGTCATAAGTTTGTCTAACGGATTAGAAAAGGACTGTAAATTGTACAGGGTGCGGCAGAGAGGACGGACGTTTTTACGAGAGAGGTGGGGAGGGTGCTGTTTGACTCGTGAGATCCTAGCATTATTTTACCAGTTGTCGTTATGGAGCCTTGGACGGTGGAGCACCGCGTTTTCGCCTATGATTGTTTCATCCGAAATAATGAGTCAGTCATCGTCGTACAGCGTGAGTTTCGTCGCCACTTCAACATTCACCGGAATAGAGCTGTTCCCTCTCGAAACACCATCCTTCGTTGGGTTGAATCACTTCGTAGGCGTGGTGAACTGATCAACAGAAGACCAAGAGGAGCGCCGCGAACAGTTCGAACTCATGAAAATGTTGAACGCGTTCGACAGGTCTTTCTTCGCAGTCCGACTCGATCTGCCCGGAAACATGCTGCTGCACTTCGCCTTAGTGATCGTTCGGTAAGGCGAATTTTGCATATGGATCTCCGCTTTCACCCCTACAAATTGGCCATTGTTCAACAGTTACAGCCCGGAGATTATGCACAACGAATGAACTTCGCACGTGAGATGGAAGCACTGATCGATCAAACCGACAACCTCATTTTGTTTATGAGTGACGAAGCCCACTTTCACAAGCCACAAGCCCCGAACTCTGGACGAATTGAAGGGCGAAATTCGCGTGGAAGTCGCCCAAGTTGAGAGTGCGATGTTGGAGAGAGTCTACGCGAACTTCCAACAACGCCTCCAGCACTGCATCAACGTTTTCGGCCACCACATGCCTGATGTGATTTTCCACACTTGACTGTCTCAAATGCTATTTCCTTGTGAACCTGATTCCATCAATAAATTTGTTTTCGAGTAAAAAATAACTATTTTATGATTTTTTTAAAACCGTCCATCCTCTCTGCTGCACCCTGTATAACTGATAAATCGTTTTCAGCAAAATTAAGTAGTATTGAGAAGAAAAACTTAAGAGTGTGAAAATGAGATGTTTTTACCTTAAATATACAAGGAATATCCTTTTTGTTGGCATGTATCACATCAGAGTCCTTAACGCTAGAGACGCTAAATTGCGGATCACGCATGTCTAACACTTGAGCTACATGAACACTTGGTAAGGCATTTCGATCTGCTGATATGTCGTACAAAAACAGCTTAAAATCACATACAACGACAAACTGTCGCACCCAACCTAAAAATTAATAATACGCTTATTAAATAGTATTAGTTAAACAAGCAATTGAATTTGTATTACGATCGAATAACTATTTACAAATTACTGTTTCAGTATCTTTACGTATCAGACTGACGTGTTATTTAACGCATTTGAAGAGTATTTCTAGACTAAGTGAGAATATCATCATAGTAATAAATTTGAAAAGTCACATTATTTCAGCATATCTTACCTTTCTTCACTCCACCCTGTTTGGGTACTTTAACATAACCTTCATAAGCTGTTCCAATACCTCGAGTCGGATCGATACCAAGAGGCCTCTTGGCTGTAGAAAAAGCAATAGCGAATTAGGATTTTGATATACAGTTAATTTTGATGTAAACATCTACATTATCAAATACTTCCTATTTAAAAAAATGGTAAATGATTAAACAACGTACAGAAAAAAGTATATTATACAGGGTGGCCAAACACGTGACGTCATAAAAAAAAAATTAGATTCCCCACATCGAGAGGAACCCAAATCACCCCCATATATATGGTCCGATTTTGTTTAGTTTAGGAGTTATGATTTTTTTTCGGATTTTTCGAGAATTTTTGAGTTCTGTGTTTATTTTTACCATAACTTCGTTAATAATTGTGATAAATGCCTGCTTTTTTCACGATTATGTAGCTAAGACCTAAGGCTTAACTATCATATAATCATTCAAGTCATGTAACTAATACTACTTTTTAATTTTTTTCAAAATCTTCGAACATAACAAAAAAGTAAAAAAGTGCAACAACTTTGAACGTTTATAAAAAATTGAAAAAACATGTTCTTACTATTCGTAAGTATCTTAAAAACTTCCTTACGGTATCAGCTATTTACCGTAAAAATTTCATCAACCTAGCTTTACTACATGCTACCGTAATTGTGGCTCAAATAGAACCGAACCCAAAATTGGATAACCCTCTGCTCAATAGAAATTGTTAGTTTCGGAAAAAAAATTTGCAAAAACCACAAAAACACGTTTGATTTTTACTGAACAGCAGATTATTATTCATTTATGTTATTTACAAGAGGTTTTCAAAATGTCTGCCTCTAACAGAAATGCACAGTGTACACCTACGTATGAAATTTTGTTTTAAATCTCTAAATGCTTGTGTGTTGTTTTTCAACACATGTGTCGCTTCTTGAATTTTGTTCCTCAATGAATTTTCATTTGCACATTCTTGGGCGAATGTTATGTCTTTAAAATATCCCCAAACAAAAAAATCAATGGGGTTGAGGTCAGGGGAGCGTGGAGGCCATCGTATCGGTCCGTTTCGTCCGATCCATCTGTCTGGGAACCTTTCGTTTAAGTAGTTTCGCACGATCGTTGCGTTGTGGCATGGTGCACCATCATTCTGGAACACCATGTTCCGTCTGGCTTCCAGGCTTGAATCTTCCAGCAATAATGGTAGGCTATTTTCAAGGAAGCTTTTGTAGGCTACCGAATCCAACCTTGACGGCAGTTCAAATGGACCGATAAATTCCATATTGAATATTCCTAACCACATGTTCACACTAAAAGGGTGTTGAAATGTCGACGGCCTTGACTGGTCGGGGTTTTCAACAGCCCAAGTATGTAAATTATGGATATTGAATATCCCTGTTCTTTCAAAACGTGACTCGTCGGTCCATAAAATTTTATCAAAAAAATCGGGATCCTCTCGTTGTCTTCGCAGCATTGTCTCGCAGAAATCCACTCTTAACTGGTAATCTGAAGGCATCAACGCTTGAACTCTTTGAACATGATAGGCATGATAACCTTCTTCATGAAGAATATTTTGTATCGATGTTCGTGGTATTCTAAGGTTTTGTGCCATAGATCTCGTACTCGTTGAGGGATTCCGGCTAATTTCTTCAAGTACTACTTCTCTGCGATCCGGATCAGCTGTAGGATATGCTTCATTGCTTCCTCGTCCTGGAATGCGGCCTGCCATGAAAGTGTTATGTGTGTTAATAAAAACACGGTGGTCTGGGTAATGCTCAGGTTGTGGTCCGCCTCGGCGTATAAGTTGTTCCCGGTACAGCTGAGCTGCTAAAGCGCCGTTGCCTTGAGCAACGCCATAATAATAATGCATTTATGCATATTCACGCAACGTATAATGCATCACAAACTTCTTAGCAAACAAAGTCCAAATCAGTATGCAAAACAGAGTCCCGGAATATCCAATTTTTTAGAGCACGAGGTTTCGGCTGATATGGCCTCTTATTTCGTCTGCAGGTGACTTAGCCTTTCGGGGTTATTTATACCAGAACGGCTGACGTGTCCTGTGCCGTAGATGACGTGGCTGGTCGGTGGTGATGACGTGTCCTCTGTTGGTTGCGAGACAATGCTGCGAAGACAACGAGAGGATCCCGATTTTTTTGATAAAATTTTATGGACTGACGAGTCACGTTTTGAAAGAACAGGGATATTCAATATCCATAATTTACATACTTGGGCTGTTGAAAACCCCCACCAGTCAAGGCCGTCGACATTTCAACACCCTTTTAGTGTGAACATGTGGTCAGGAATATTCAATATGGAATTTATCGGTCCATTTGAACTGCCGTCAAGGTTGGATTCGGTAGCCTACAAAAGCTTCCTTGAAAATAGCCTACCATTATTGCTGGAAGATTCAAGCCTGGAAGCCAGACGGAACATGGTGTTCTAGAATGATGGTGCACCATGCCACAACGCAACGATCGTGCGAAACTACTTAAACGAAAGGTTCCCAGACAGATGGATCGGACGAAACGGACCGATACGATGGCCTCCACGCTCCCCTGACCTCAACCCCATTGATTTTTTTGTTTGGGGATATTTTAAAGACATAACATTCGCCCAAGAATGTGCAAATGAAAATTCATTGAGGAACAAAATTCAAGAAGCGACACATGTGTTGAAAAACAACACACAAGCATTTAGAGATTTAAAACAAAATTTCATACGTAGGTGTACACTGTGCATTTCTGTTAGAGGCAGACATTTTGAAAACCTCTTGTAAATAACATAAATGAATAATAATCTGCTGTTCAGTAAAAATCAAACGTGTTTTTGTGGTTTTTGCAAATTTTTTTTCCGAAACTAACAATTTCTATTGAGCAGAGGGTTATCCAATTTTGGGTTCGGTTCTATTTGAGCCACAATTACGGTAGCATGTAGTAAAGCTAGGTTGATGAAATTTTTACGGTAAATAGCTGATACCGTATCATAACTCCTAAACTAAACAAAATCGGACCATATATATGGGGGTGATTTGGGTTAATCTCGATGTGGGGAATCTAATTTTTTTTTTATGACGTCACGTGTTTGGCCACCCTGTATATGTTTCCACTTTTAACTTGAACGATAACTTGCCCTTCAAAGACCATACGTAAAATTTTGTCTTAAAGCTATGACCAAGTTGCGTGAAGTAATACTCAGAGTACTTCAGTCGTGGAGGTAAGGTTTTCATCAAATGTCAGGAAAATAAGCTATATTCCCTAACAGTAATAGTGTGACATGAAACTATGGTAACATTGTATCGGGATCTGGTATGAATATCAAATCATATTTATTAATTTCTCAAATGGGCAATACAGATAGTTTAAATGGGTTCTTCTTCAGTGAATGAAGAAACGCATCATCAACAATCTATCCCGGTTATCACAAATGCAATTTTGTCTGAACTGACAATCCCCATTGTTAAATTGCATTTTTATGAAGCCGTACGTCATTATTTTACCCCGAGTTTAAAAATAATAATTTTACATATTGACACACTACAAAATCGTAGACGCCACTTTTTTGTTAAGCCAAATGTGTATGTCTACTTATCTGAGCCTTATATCAACATAAACCTAAAATATATAAGTATATTTTTTCTAAAACTCACTTTGATCTGGAGGTACGGGGCAGACGGACGGCACGTGTGGGCAACACGCCGTGTGGCAGGTGAAGCCGCATATCTCACACACCATTCCCTGCCGCATTAGGCCCACCATCAGCGAGGTACAATGGCTGCACTTCGTTGGACTGGAGAACGTACGGACCAGGAATTGGTGGGCTTTGTGTTTCATCGGAGATTGGGTATCGTGCTGGAACATTGGGAAATGCGCATGTATCAGTTATTAACCAAAGTTGTTAAAGTAGCTTTTTTACCTCGAAGTCATTGCTATCTTATGAGAGATAAGTAAGTAACCTACCATGCTGAGTTCCGAAAGATTGCTCTTCGAACTGGTCATACTCAATGCTCTGTTGTCCTCAATATCGCCCTCTTCCGATTCTATGGACCCGCCTTGATATAACAGTGCTTGCGCCGGCAAATTGTCGTATGTGTTCATTTGCTGTTGTTGCGAGGAGTTCGTTTCCTTCAGGAACTGATCTAGGTACGACATTTGCGATGGAGGGCGTTCCAGAACTATGGAATTTAAGATTAAAGTGGATTAGAAGCAAAAGATCTAGATTGCATTAGAAAAAGCATTCTCGAAAAAGGTCGATGTGATAATGAAATATTGTACAAGCAGGACTGTACACCAACGAGATAATAAAGGTGTTCCCAAGGGACTGTTCATAGTCTCATGTCAAATGTCACCTCAACCTTTGTCAATTTCCTCAGAACATATTTGCCAATCGAAATAAGACGCATTCAGGGAGACAAATATTGGGTAAGTTCTAGAAGCCAATTAATCATTTATGGCCGTTTGTACCGGATTTCTTAAATATACCACGTTAGCAAAGTAAAACTATCTTTAAGGTACTCCTTAGATTGAATTTATGTTGCACCTCCGTATGTTGAACGGTGCTTCGCTACGCGTACTATACTGACTTGGCAACCATGTATATATTTAGGGATTTCTATTTTTGAACCAATGAGCACTGCGCATCAAGTGAACCATTTTTGTGCTATTATATAATATCGTCGGAAATCCTAATATTTGACCTGCCTGAAATATTCATTATCACATATTTGTTTTTCATCATGAGATCTGCTGCAAACAAAGAGCCGAGAATGTTTCCCTACAAGAAAAATATTTATTGCTGAACATTATATCCGAATAGATTAGAAATTAAAACAACTGATGCCCTCACTTGGAGAGAAAAGAACGAGACCTGGAAAAGGATTACAAACTTCTTCACCTCACGAACACCGGAAAATTATCCTGTGTGTTTATGGACATATTACGACAACATTAAAAAACTATTAGAAACATTTGATACATTATTCTCGGAATTCCATATATAATGAGGTTAAATTCATCCAATTCTTCTAAAAGTTCCTCACAAACCGCTTAATAACCTTTAGAACTTAACTAAAAATCAAAACTATTTTCAGGTTATATGCAATTTAAGCTCAACAAATCTTTAGTTTATCTTTCTGACGTTTCAGCTTCACTTAAAATTAGAAATAATAGCGGTACAAACGGCCACTAATAGGTAGATAATTTGCTAATATAATATCTTTACTTTTGGATAAATAAATTTTATCTCGAGTGCATACAGAGCACATACAGAAATAAGGGAGCCTTGCTACAATTACAAATCCTTCAAACATGGGCATTTATTGCGAATGCAGTAAAATAAATATTCTAAATGCAATGAAAACTATAAAAATAATCATATGAAGGAATCGTACAAGTGTCATGACAAATCTGAACAAAATGTAGTTTGGAAATTTATGGGTGCTATAAACGATATAAAATATTTTGTTTGATATATTTTATGTCTATACAACTGCATATCGCTAGAACGATTTGTGTGATACACGTTATTGTATTTTCAAAACGTTAAGTACAGCCGATAAACAACTGATTATTTTCAACAAACACGTGAAAAACTATCTATAATTCTCATATAGCTACAAAGTTTGAATTCCAGCATAAAAAATGATATTTTTTGGCTTAATTATGGAGCAACTGGTATTGTAATCGTATTGCATAATTATCAAAAATTATAGAAGGTCCTGCATTAAGGTTTATTTTAATACTAAGTTGTTGTAATAGTGTGTATTTGAAAAAAGTATACACATTTCAAAATCCATTGCGGCAGTCATATACGGACGTAGTCAAATATTTTCTTAGCATCATAGTTTCTATGATAATTATTAATTGATTGATATGGATCTTTATGGGATGGATAACATATAACAAGTAAAAGTCACTAGCTTCAATACATCTGGCAAACAGGGGTGAATATGCATCATCAACAAAACCTTCACTCTGTTAGGGACAAAAACGCTACGCCCAAAAATAAGACAAAACGACAAAAAAAATATATTAGCACTCCAAGCATTAACCAACAAGAAAAATGTAAGCAATCGCAAGCAATTGCATTATTAATGCTAATAGCTATGAAAAAATCGGTAAAATAGGAAAAATTACGATGAGACTAACCCTTAACATGGCGTTTGATGAACGTTGCGATTCCAACGCTTGCTGCATGTAAAGATTTTTTATAATTCTTCTATCAATCAAGTTTGAATTCTCAGGTATAGCAAAATTGCTTGATTTTTGTGTCCTTTGAACTTATTAACTGGATATAAAATTTTATTGGTCTGCCGAACCCGGATGACATTTAACATCGTCATAGTAAAATTTTTGCAGAGAGGCGAAAATGGACAAAAATACTAAAATTAATGTTTTAATAACTTACTAACATAAGAGGATAGAGATAGCAGATATTGTGAAAAAATATCTAACGAATCAGAATATTATATATTTGTCATTGAACACAAAAACCAACCAAGAACCATGAGAATTCCCGAACACAACGGGTAAAAACCAAAGTGGAATTTTAAATAATTTATTGAAATAAAATTTCAAAACAAACTTAACAATACAGCCAACAAATGTAGATCAAAAACAAATCTAAAAAATATCGAAACTTTAATAAATACGAAATAAATTAGAACTAATTCGTGTGTAACAATGAGGTGACTGAAATATGGAAAATTTAGAGACTAGCTTTGGTATCACATGTTTAAATTGACTCTCCAAGTGTCTGCCATAAATTATCCCAACATACCAATGTCGGAGCCATTTCGAATAACAATTTTCATTTGAAGCAAATTTGTCCAATGTTAACCTATGCTATATATTTGAGAGACATTCATCAATAATATATAGAACTATATATGATAATGATATTTCAACGCTGCATTATATTTTAGGCCGTTATAGTTATGCCATGTATCACAGGAGGAATGATTAAAGGGTTAATCCTTGAATTTAAGACTATCAAACATTGCAATAAGCAAAGTATGATTAGATTGTTTAAATTGTTTCTCAGAAAAACATCCGTTCCAATTTTTATATTTCATAACACAACCCACCAGTAGTGGAAGAATAATAATCGTAGTAGCATTTCAAAAAGACATTAGTAATGTATTGTTCCAGTGATTATAGTGTTAAATTATAGATCATTGATAGTATCTTGCATGCAACTGTCCACGTTCAAAACATAGTCATAGAAGAGTATCGAAGACTGTAAAATATTTTGGATGCATGACAAAGTAGACACTCCACTATTAGTTGTAAATATCATTTATTTATAGTCAAGGCAGTAATTTCGCATCAGCTATGAAAAATATGATGGTTGGTTTTTGCATAATCTTGTTCAAAAACGACCATTTTTAATGAATCTGCACATTTCCAGGCCCAAAATTGCGTCAAAAAATATTTAAACAACTTTTCTTAACATATTTGGGCGCTTATCCTTCCAAAACTACCAACTTTAGAGAAAAGTTCACAGAACCTTTCTGTTCAGAATGGTTCAAAAAGCCTGACAAACGTTGACCGCAGCAAAAAAAACTATTTTTGAAATTTGACTAAAATAATAAACAATTTTTAGAGCATTTTGGTCCTGGAAATATGCAGATTCGTTAGAAGGTATTATGGAAAAAACCAATCAGAATATTTTTGCGAGCAGATGCGAAGATACTTCCTGGATTTATTGATCTTGAAATTTTGGAATTCGTATTCATAAAGGAGCGCGAAAAAATAAGCATTTTCTAAAGTATCGACGGGTTCAAGGAAACTTAGGGAAGTAAGAATGATAATTATAAAGAAATTCGTAGACAATCCGATACCAAAATCTCATAAATGCATACAACGGCACAAAGATACTTCAAAAAAATCCAAAACTTGAAATTTAGCAGTAATATTCCTTATAAAACAATGACTGCCATATAATCTGGTTATGATCCTAATTCCACATAACCACTGAAACACATTATCAAAAGTTTTGGCCCCCTTCTAACTCACAACAAATAATTCAATCCGCTTTTTTTAGATTTGTTTCCTCACCCTCCACAATCTCTCACAACTGAGTATCAACCTTATAAAAAATCTAAACAACCTATCTCACACAGATCAGTTATTCGTAGTATCGAACAGATCTCACTTTAGCGTTACGTGTACACGTGTATATAAAAAAATTGTACTGAAATGCCATTTGTGTTTACGTATCCGATGATGCGGATCGATCGTTTGTGATCAGCTGTAGAGCCGCATGTACAGCAACATGATGCCCCAGAAGCAGGACGTGATCCCAATCACCAGAGGCAGTTGTTTCAGCCACGAACCGACTGCAGGGTACACAGAGATATACAGATATGTACTGATTATTGCCCTTCGAGCCTGAGAGTGCTAATATACGCGTTGTGATGATGTCAAGTAGATTGGTGATGCTCTCAACATGTGTTTAGTTAATAGGTCAGATGAGATCTATTGGCCCTGCACGATGGCTACTTTGAGCGCTAGTGTCTCACTTCTACAGGGTGTTTCAGTTTATTGTTGCATAACTTTAAGATTCGATAGAACTTTTAAAATTACTGCATAAAGTCTATATAAACATGGGTCGAAAAATGCGTGGCTTCCGAAATACAGGGTGTTTAAATTTACTTTCTAAAATAGTTTTTTTAAATATTTCGAACAATATTTGATGTATAACAGTGAAAATTGGTATACAAGGGTTTTTTGGTACGACAAAACGAACCATGGGCATAGTTTTACTGTAGCCGCTAGAGGGCGCTCGGTACTGTACCTGTAGTGTATTAAAATGACCGAAATTTTTTTCTTAGTGCAATTTTTTGCTTTTTGAATAAAAAAACTGATTCTTCGCACTTTTCAACATAAAAAAGCTCTCCTGTGAATTTTCGTTATAGTTAGCCATTTTTGAGATATTTCGATTTTTAGGGTTCGATGCATTTTTAATTATTTATGATAAAATAACGTTAAAAAGTCAGTATCTCGATAATTTTTAGAAGTAGGCTGTGCCTGCAAATATTTTTGAAATTGAAAGCAGAATAAGGTTAAACGTCAATTAGTTGACAGTTAGTCTGTTGAATCCTGAAACGTTTTTTTGCAATTGTGAATGCACGAAATTTAGTTTCTTTTACCTGTTTTTTTTGTAAGTTTTATAAAAATGCCATTTTTATTCTCCAATCAAGAGTTAGCAGATATTCATTTTGTGTATGGCTTTTTAAATGGAAACGCAGCTGAAGCAGCCAGAGAATACGCACGAAGATTTCCAAACAGACGACATCCAACTCGCTCAGTATTTGTAAGAGTGCCAAATAATTGAAAATGGTTTTGGAAATCTCCAAATGGATCAAAACATAAATGTTCGTCAGCGCAGATTTACCCGTATGATTCTGCGTGAGTTTGATAGAGATCCGACCACAAGTGTGAGGAGAGTTTCTGGTGCCTTGAGAATTTCAGCAAGCCATGTTCACCGTGTTCTTAGAAATGACCATAGACGTCCTTACCATTTGCAACCTGGGCAAGGACTACAGACGGGGGACGGAGAACGGAGAATCACATTTTGTCAGTGGATTCTTGATAGAATTGATAATAATAGGGAGTTTTTAAGTAACGTTTTATGGACCGATGAGTCATGCTTCACTAGACGTGGAGTGATAAATTTTCATAATCAACATATTTGGTCGCATGAAAATCCGCATGCAGTTCGGGAAAGAAATTTTCAGCATGAATTTAGTGTGAACGTGTGGATTGGTATCTACCGTAATCGACTATTTGGACACTACCTTTTGCCTGCAAGGTTAAATGCTGCGTCCTTCTTGGAATTTTTAAAGGCTGAACATGCAAATATGTGGGATGATGTTATGTTAGATTTAAGAAGATTGGCCTGGTTCGAGCTTGATGGTTGTCCAGCTCATTATTCGAGAATAGTTAGAAACTGGCTGGACGAAAATTATCCAGAAAGATGGATCGGCCGTGGAGGACCAGTCGCCTGGCCTCCACGATTCCCTGACCAAATCCATTAGATTTCTTTGTGTGGGGATTTCTAAAAGAAAAAGTGTACCAGACTCCCGAAACCATAAGAGATATGCTAATAGACAGAATCAGGAATGCATGTGATGAAATAAGGCCTTATTTGAAATGCTATACCACGTTCGATCATTCGTAGATGTGAATTGTGTATTGAACAATTGGGTTTACATTTAGAGCAACTACTTTAGATTTCGTATGTTTGTCCTAACTATCCAATAGCATTTTAGTTGTAAATAACTAATTTAATTTGTTAAAAATAATATTGGAAAATTAAACAAATTAATATTCTGTTTTTTGTGTTTATTTCGAGTTAGGAATTATTGCTGTGTTTAAAAACACAATCTAAACCATGATCTTAATTACTTGTAATGCCCAAATCGAAAATGAAAAAAATATTATTTTCCCATAAATAATTAAAAATGCATCGAACCTTAAAAATCGAAATATCTCAAAAACGGCTAACTATAACGAAAACTCACTGGAGAGTTTTTTTATGTTGAAAAGTGCGAAGAATCATTTTTTTTATTCAAAAAGCAAAAAATTGCACTAAGGAAAATTTTTCGGTCATTTTAATACACTACAGGTACAGTAGAGAGCGCCCTCTAGCGGCTACAGTAAAACTATGCCCATGGTTCGTTTTGTCGTACCAAAAACCCTTGTATACCAATTTTCACTGTTATACATCAAATATTGTTCGAAATATTTAAAAAAAACTATTTTAGAAAGTAGATTTAAACACCCTGTATTTCGGAAGCCACGCATTTTTCGACCCATGTTTATATAGACTTTATGCATTAATTTTAAACGTTCTATCGAATCTTATGCCAATTTAATGGAGCTTGTCAGATTTAAACAATTTTACAAGGTTTGCTTGACTCATTTTATTCCCTACAAGCGCCCATTTATACATGCAACTTCAGCTGTGAAAGAGTACAACGTGCGACAATGAAGTCGGATAGCCACTTTCTCGGCTAACTTTCATTGTCAAATTCTCAACTAGACTAGAAATTGTTAGTATCGTCCAAATCTGAAAATAAAATTAGTTTTTGCTATTTTTATTGGGATGATAAGGTTTTTGGGTCGAAACTGGAAAAGCAGCATCAGTCTGGGAAGATACGCATCTGCTCGGAGAAATAATCAGATTGTTTTTTTGCAACTAATACAACTTTTAAAGAATCTGTATGTTGATGGGCTTTACAATAATTCTTTAATTAGAATAAAAAAAGTGTTTTTTTTTTTCGTTTCGGAAAGAGTTTTTTTACGTTTTTTAGAACATTCTGCACAAAAAAAGGTTATTACTAACTTTTCTTTCAATTTGACGGTCTTCGTGATATAAGCGATTTAATATTTGAAAAAATGCGAAACATGCCATTTTCAACCATCAAAAACAATATGAAAAGACAAACATTTTAATGCTGCCAAAGTTCCTAAATACTCTTTATACATCCATTAGCATGTCAGGGGATATTGTTATTGTAAACCTTTGTTGATGTTGATCAAGCGCACGGTCAATGCATACTCTGCATGAGCGTGAGAGAGATTCAGCATTGGGGCGGCAGTCAGTTACATCTCTCTCTCGCACTCACGCAGAATGTACATTGAGCGCTCGCTTGATTATTATCGAATATGGTATATCTCCCATTTTTTCAAGTATTAAATAGCTTATATCTCAAAAACCATCAGCTTTAGAGAAAAGTCCATAAGAACCTTTTTATTTCAGAATGATCCAAACAACCTGAAAGAACTAAGCCCAGAGTGAAAAAAAAGGAATCTTTGAAATCTGTTAAAAACATTTTTTATACAATTTTGGGCCTGGCAACATGCAGATTAGATAAAAGAGGTCCTTTTTAAATAGGATTTTGAGAATATTCAGAATATTTTTCAGACCAAATGCGAGATGCTTCCTGGTCTACAATGTACGTATCGAAGGTTGTCAGACATTGACAACCTTCAATAGTCTGACACTCTTAGCAGTTTAGATAATCTCATTTACTTTTGTCAGCTTCCCAGCTGCAGTACAGAAGTATGTTACAGTAAAAGGTCTCTAAGCGACCATTGCAAAGGGTCAATAATGTCCGGATTCCATAACAATTTTAATACCCCAATATCTCCATGTTTCAAAGTTCGTGAACAGGAACGTGAAACTAACGTCAGCTTATCAAACATGCGTTTAATTTCAGTTCGAATACAGGGTTTCTGGCATCTCAACTAACAGATATCTGTTGAATATAGTAACGATTATTGTTGGCAAGATGAAGACGTGTTCATGACAATGTAGCCGATTTAATGCAGGCAATAATGCACTTCACCAACCTCAACGGCTATTTTTGTCCGTTCAGAAGCCAGTCAAAAAATATGCCAAAAAAACTATTTTTGAAACAAGTTTAAGTGGGTACCTATTCGGTACTCTCATTACCAAACAAAAATAAGCTTGCCAGTCTAGAACGTTCTTTCACATATCGCGTCTACAGTACCTTTCAAAGACTCGCAATAAAAATGCAAAAAATGTATCATATCACTGTTAAAAAAATGACAGGATCATTAAAAATATTTGAAAAGCGGTACTTCCTCGTTGTTAGTAAGTTAATATAAGTAAGTAAATATAATTATGAAAGATTTGAATGAGCTAAAAGATTTGTTGATGATCAGAGACTCGTTAGAAATATTCAAAATAGAAATAGTACATCATTTTTATTGACTCAGTAACAATGAAGAATTGCATGTTTAATGTTTCATGTAAAACAACATGTTTGAAACCACCACCAAACTACAATATTATTATGAGATGATTTTGCCAATTATGATGTGTTTGTGTATACTTGATGAAATTAAATGAAATGTAATCAAAATGAAGAATGTGGATATAAAGTAAAATATAAATACTTACATCCTTCAGAGTCCAGGCGATTTTGGAGATCTTTCATCTGCTTCTCTTTTCGTTTCAAATCCATCGACAAGGCATCATTTCGTTGTCTATATTCTCGCAGCTCCCTGCAAAAATCAGCAAATAAATAAAAAGAATAACAAATTAGAAGTCCAAGGAGCAGTTGCATAGAGAAGGTTCGTTTTTGGATTTGAAGGATGGTAAATATTATATTATAAAGTATTGAAAACTTGACATGCTATTTTGTTTTGCAATACGGTTTGGACAACTTACTTCTGTGCAGCTAATAGCGCCTCCCTAGTTTTACTTAGATCCTCGCTGATTGCTTGCTTCGCTTGAATCTCACTTTGTAAGGAACTCTGCAAGTTGAGCAGTTCCATCTTATCTAACTTTTGCGACCGCCTATTTCGCCAATTTTTGTCCCCACCACCAACCACGTTCGAAACGCCTGAAAATTAAATTGTTCATTTCTAATATTGGTTCACGTAAACAGTACTCGAATAAATCAACTCTATATAATAACTACTGGGCTGGAAACGCACTTTTATACGGAAGAAAATACAACTGGTCGACAATGCAACTGACATTAGTTGCGTTTGTTTGGCATGTGAAGTGAGATAGTCCAACAGTCTCAAATCAGTGAAAAAAAGTTCATAATTTGATTTGGCTTTATTTTACACATAAATAAAATAAACTTAACCAATTAGGGTAAGGGGGACGACAGAAGTCTCACCTCATTTAATCCGAGTTCTGATAAAAAGAACGTGCAACAAACTGAACCAACAAGTTATGAGAGTGTGCCTGAAATTGTGTGTAAAACAAAGCAACAATTGACGTTTATGGCAATGTGTCGACTGTCATAACCTACATTAATGTTCACTTCTAACAATCGCCATCATACTGGGTTACCGAATGTTCAACTATCATCGTTAAAAAAAAAAGTAGTATTTTACATAAGTCAGGTTGCCGGTTGTATTTTCATCCGTATGGAGATGGGATACTAGAGATCCAGCGGCAATTATAAGGATCTAATAGTGAATGTCTTGAATGTCATATTGTCAATATACCAACAAATGCTCAAAATAAGTTCTGACAATACCTGCATGTTTAAGATATTCGAGCTCCTCGGTCATCTTGGTAGCCAAAGCTTGCAAATAAGCCCTGGCATCTTTCTCGTCACTAACCCATTGAATAATTTCTGATAGCTGCGTCTCCCATTGACCTAACGTTTCCTGCTTACTCCGCAATTGTTCGTATTCGGATTCTAACGTCGATCTTTCGTTTTGTAATCGATTCATAGATTCTGTTAACTAAAATGAAACATTTCATCGAATAATGACTTAATGTCAAGAAACCTGTTTCTTTTATACATGTAGCTCCATCATCCTGTGCAAGCATTAGTTTTTAGACATTTCTTGATATGAATAAGAAGTTGGATGCTAAGAATCTTTTCCGCAGCAGTACGAGAAAATATGAACAAGGCTAAAATCACTAGAAATGTTTAAATGTTCCTCAAGTAATAACCAACAAACCTTTGTATATTGAAGTAGTTGAAGACAATGAGGCAATATTGGTATTATCTATATTTTAAGAACTACAGCGTGACAGAAATCAAGAAAGCAAAACATATTCATAATTTAGCTGTGTGAGAAATAGCTTAGTCTATGTACAATAGGAAAATATTGAGTCATAGTTGATATCGAATTTTAAGCACCATTAGTTCTATCAATCAATGATTTTTGTCCTTTTTTGTGTGCGATTATTTTTTTTATTAGCGTAGTTAAATATCCAATATTATATGTAAAAAATACCCTGCTAAGTAGCAACGTTTTTGGGATTTTAAGTCTTGAAAAATGGAAGATAAGTCCAATAGGTAGCAAAACAGATAAATCAGTTTGAATTTCAGCAGTTCTGTGTTTGCTTTTATGCTGTCTATGCCACTAGCCCAGTAAATGCATACTTTTGACCTAACAAAAATTCTATCATAGATGAAAATTTGGATTTAGGTTACTGAAATATTGTTTAGCCTTACGAAAAGTGCCGCATCCTGCTTAAGGTAGGGACTGAAAAACTTTTTGATTTCTGTTACGGCCCTTTAAATATTATGTATAAAAAAAGCTCTCAAAACAATTTTGTAGCTTGATGTATAAAAGTTGTTTCTGCGATATTTTCATATCTACGTTCATTCACGAGATGGAGCCCTTGCATAAAAATTAGCTTTTGTATTTAGAAGTATGCAAATTATTTTTTTACGTTTACGTAATATTTTAGGGCATACATCGTTTTAAAAGCATCAAAGCGGAAAATCCTTGTATACTCGTATTTTCATTTTCTATTTTTTGTAGAATAATTAATTATACTGAAAAGCAAAAATATCTACTTTTTAGAAAAGACTACAAAGATAATATTTAACCACATTTTGAAATAAATATAAGACATCAATAAAAACAGCATGAGGAGCTGAAACTATACTTCACTGAAGTTACTAAACATTTTCTGTGCACACGTTGTGCTGTTGAAGTAATATTTATATTTCATACACAAGCAAAAAATTAAAAATGACTCAGAATGTATGTGTGACACAGACAAAAATAAAAAGAATCCGCAAAGGCACAGAACTTGGACTCAAAAAAGTAATTTGCTTTGCCACAAGATGAATGGCTGGAGCGATCTTAATACATTCACGTAAAAATCCAGCTACTTCTGCACATATTTTGGCAATTTTCATTAATCACGGGGTACTACAGTATATTCAGATAAGAGATAGACCGGACATAAACAAGACCACGTGATCATCGAACGCTGTAACATTCGGCAGGGACGTATTAAGAGTCACGCAGTACATATTTTAGATAGTAGATGCTGCTTTGCGTAACTTTGTAGTAAATTAGCACAATTCGATGTGTATACGATTGGTGATGGATATAGGATCATGTGGGGGTGGGGTAAGAAATATATAATGATGTAAATATACATAAGGGTTTCAAAATTTTCGCTTCGATTTCCAGCTTCGGATGCCGTCTGATGTTTGGTGAAATACAGTCGAATATAATCTCAAAATGGCGTTTAAATTAGCCTATAATTATAACAAGGTATAACAATAACAACGACAAACTCAACAACTTAATAAGATAACAAACGAAAACGTCCAAAGAAATATCAAATTGCAATGATGCACACGACATACGTAACACGTCTGAACCTGAATGTGACTCTGCCTTGATACGACTGCTCTGCCGCTCGGCATAGGCATTTAATTGCGAATTGACCAATGAGGGCTCCTGTTTGACGTCGAGACGGCGGCGTTAGCGTGAAAATCACCCGAACCTTTTGTTTACATCCGGTCTATCTCTTATCTGAATATACTGTATATGTAATATTTCAAGTACCGCAACAAAAAAAAAAGAAGTTTTTCAGTCATTGTCTCCCGCAAAATAAGTTTTCGTAAGGCTAAAGGAGTATTTCAGTCCTCTAATTCCAAATTTTCATCCACTATAGAATTTTTACAAAATTTTGGGAAACTTTTGTGTTCCCTCATCAGGCTACACGAGAATCAAACCAGAGGTTAAATTCTTTGTCAGTTTTTTGGCCACGATATACAGAGTGATGAAATTCTCGCATTCGGTATTATTAGTTTCAAATTATTAATTAAAATACTCTGGTTAATCAAACTACTGCGTCATTTGAATGTAATCTGCCCTCAGGCCTTTTGGATTATATGAACCTTATACAATACATAAACCTCTTTTTGGAAATAGAACGGACCTTAGTTTTCATCCATCTTCTCGGTGCAACATCTCCGCAACGTTGTGCGATTTTTTTAGCACAATTATTTATGTACTCCACAACTATAATACGCGAAACAAAATTCATCGCGCTGCTCGCGAATAAGGAAACTACGCCAAAATTACCTATTGCACTTATAGACTATTTTTAAAAAACTACTCTCACGCAGGTATCAGAGCACTTTCAAAGTGTATGAAGCTCCATGTAGAAAAATTCAAACAATAAGCATGTGAAAAAATAACAAAAAAAAAAAACGAAATAAAAACAAACTCACAAACTCAACACTTGAGGATAGTTTTTTATTATCCTCCGATAATATTTGTTTTTCCCTTTCATGCCTACGGTTAAGCTCCGTTACCATTTGTTCCGAATCGGAAACTGCTTCTAACCTAGTTTGCTCGAGTTTCTCTTTTAACGATTGCACCTAACACAAGACAAAAACGAAAATAACATAAAACAGAAAAGAAAATAACATAAAACAAAACGTCTCATAGCAAACAGCCGGTTAAAGCAAATTTGCCCTGAAACACTCATGAAGATTAAAAAAAAGTACTAAGTGTGTGTAAGTCAATGACTAATTTTCTCATAGATTTGTTTGACTTCAAATGACAGAAAACAGTTTTCAGATGTATACCACATAATACCTGATAAACAAAACATAAACTTACTTCTCTTTCTAACAGGTCCCTATGTGTTTCAGCTTCATGTAGTTGCTCTCTTAGAGAAGAAATCTCCATGTTATACCGAGCTTGCTGTTGTGTAAGGCTCTCATTGTATTGAACCTATAATATATATAGAATAAGTTAGCTTTATAGCTACAAGAGTGATTAACTGATGAATTGTATACAGTTTCAATAGACAGAGTTTTCCTGTTATATAAGATCCAAACGTCCTATATCGCTGACTGCAAGACGCAAGATAAAAACAAAGATGCAGGATTAAAATGTTTACCAACGTTTCAGCCTTCTCGATAGCTTTTTTTAAACTACAACGAAATTGACCTGTTAGTAAACCTTTTTATTCTGTATCTGTAGTTTCATTTCGCAGGCAGTGGAACATGGAGATTCATTCATTCAGATAAACCGAAAACCGCGCGTTCATAACACGAATTTTTCGACTCGATTTTTTCAAGTTTGACGGATGTCCTTAATTAATCAGGTTTATCTTTTTCGTATGAAATCATTCATTTTACATTTGTATTGAATTAGTACTGGTGAACAAAAAAAAAACGATCCGTTAAATGTCAGTAAGTTACCACCATCAGTATTATATAACAGCCATCACAGGCAGTGTAAATGGTAACACTGGGTTGATACTGCCTGCCTAATGAAGATATCTGACCTTTAACTTGACTGATTTGCCAAAACGCACAAATGAAACATTCAGACCTGCAGCGAGATTGTAAATGGTCTAATTTAGAGAGGGGTTATTAAGAATCCAAGAAACCCAGAAAAAAACTAAAAAGGTAATTTGTTAATCTGCACCGCATTACCGCCTGGTAACCTCTTGACTCCAACAAACGTAATTATTAAAGAAATGACTATTTCGAAAATTTGCCCGAATGCGAATACGTTATATGAAGCATTTGGTGCAGTATCCATTAACATTTCTCAATATCCCTTGAACTGCTTCCTTTAGCCTCGGAGCGTGCTCGAACGGTTCATGTACAGGATTTTCAATAATATAATGTTTTAATTTTCTCACCTCTAATTTTTCCAACTCAGCCTTGAGCCTGAGCGAGTCCTGCTGGTCCCTAGGAGCATGCTCAGTCCTCACTCGCAACCTATCAGACTCGGCCTGCATTTGTCTGCAGTATTCTTCTGATCGTTCCCTCAGTTTTCGCTCTTTGGTAGATTCCGCCTGGGCTTCCTCCACCCTGGACTCCAACTCTCTACGCAGCTTCTCTGCACGTCGTATGTCGTTACGTAGGGAGTCTACCTTCTGCATCACCGTTTCTAACTCCTCTTCCTTATCTCTAACCTAACAACGAAAAATATGTATTGTCACCTACCCAGGCAGCATCACAGGGAAAAACATTGCAACACTGTGCCCGATGCTGTCCATCTAGCGCCAGAGGGTAGACCGAGTATTCTTCTTGGGGAAGAATTAAGCACAATGCTACTATATCCAGTGTACTGTGAATCGCGTTTCCTAATAGACAAGACAACTTTAGGATAAGTCTGTATCTGAAATGATGAATGGCCAAGCAAGTATAAAAACTTAAACATTTTATGATCCCATATTTGCTTCTTAACTACTTACTTTTCCAATTTTTTGGTTAATTTATTCAGGGTGGTAAAGAACGCAAAATGAAAGTTTCTCAGATTCGCAAATGGAACACCTTGTATAATTTCACATTTTACGATTCTACTTTTGCTGGCGTTCATCTGATACAGGGTTTTTCAGTTAGTAAAAACACAGGGTCATCATGTTGCATAAGATAAGTTGTTTTTTTTTTTTTGATAAATTGTCGAATATCTCAACAAATTAGAAATAAAACCCTATAGTATGTTATATATTAAGTAAGAAATAAACCTAAAATCATTACTATTCGCTCATATAAAAACTTTAATGAAGACAGTTTTTGCAGGGATCTATTTGCAACCCCGTTTTTCATGCTATCTGACCAAGATAGCGCCGACTCTAAAGTTGCGTTTCTTACAAACCTGCTTACAAACCTTTTTGATAGGGATTTTCCTTTGGTATCAATGAGAGTTACTAAACCTAGAGCCCCATGGCTTACAGATGTGGTGAAGCGAATGCAGAATCTCAGGGACAGGGCGCTGCTTAGATTTAGAAGAACAGGACTGAATGCTCATTTGCGATATTATCAGGACTTGCGTAATTTAGTTAATGCTGCTATCATCAGAGAAAAAAAATCTTATTATACATACATATTAGAAAGTTGCAGTTCAACAGAAATGTGGAAAAGGTTAAGGAACAATGGAATAGTCTCTCAAAAGGATAACACCATTCCAAATTCCTTTAATGATGTCAATGAACTTAATAATTTTTTTGTTAACAGTATACCTAATATACAGCCTTCTCCTAACTTAATAAATTTCTACAGAAATACTAGGAGGAATTCTTCAAATTTTGAATTCAAAGAAGTTAATGATTTATTTGTTTATGAAGCAATTTGCCGTATTAAAACTAATGCTCGTGGGTGCGATGGTTTTAATTTAAATTTTATTAAACTATGTTGCCCTCATATTATTCCTTATTTAACTCATATAATTAATTTCTGTTTTACGCATAATCAGTTCCCTGATCTGTGGAAGCAAGCAAATGTCTGTGTTCTGCCAAAAAAACCTAATCCTTCAGATCTTAAAGATCTCAGAGGGATTAGTGTTTTACCATTTTTCTCTAAATTACTTGAGCGTGCAATGGAGGAGCAACTTTCTTATCATTTGTCACAATTTTCATTACTGCCAATTGTACAGTCTGGATTTAGGAAAAATCATAGCTGTACGGCGTCTTTACTTCATGTAACAGACGACATAATTAGAGCTACAGATCGTGGCGAGTGTACTGTTCTTGTTCTGCTGGATTTCAGCAGAGCGTTTGACACTTTAAACCATCAATTAATGCTTGCTATTTTACATCATATTGGTCTTTCTCAAAACGCTATAGATTTATTTCAGTGCTACTTCACTAAGCGGAAACAAACAGTTGTTTTGAATGGAGTTCAGTCTTTATCTTTAAATTTGAAATCCGGCGTACCCCAAGGGTCCATACTTGGACCACTCCTATTTCTAATTTATACATCTAATTTCATGCAGTTCCTTAGTCTATGTAATGTGCATTTTTACGCTGATGACACCCAAATCTATTGCAGCTTCCCGCCACAATTGATGGATTGTTTCTCGTTGATCATTAATAATGAGCTAAACTCCTTTGTAGAATGTGCCACACGCCACTGTCTTTTAATAAATCCATCAAAGTCTCACGTAATTGTTTTTGGACCTAGACAAAATAAAAATGTTATAGAGAATCTTATTAAAATTGAGATAAATGGTGTAACTCTCAAAATAATGGACAATGTAAAAAATTTAGGTGTTGTGATTGATAGTAATCTTCGATTTGAGTATCACATCAACAAAATTATGCAGAGAGCATATTTGTCGTTGAAATTTATTTACGGTAGCCGGAAATTTCTCTCGTTAAAACTTAAGATCATGCTATGTGATACTTTAGTATTATCTTTATTCAACTACGCTGATGTGCTTTACGGCCCACACTTAACTAACCTGTATCGACGTAAAGTTCAACTGGTTCAAAACTCATGCTTGCGCCTTGCATTTGGCATACAGAGGAGACATAGAATATCTCACAAATTGAAAGATGCAGGTTGGTTAAATATGGAAAATCGTAGGCTCCTCCACTCTGCTGTTTTTTATCATAAATTAATTTTAGTCAGAACACCACAATATCTTTATCAAAAAATAACCTACCGGACTGACGTTCATAACATTAACGTAAGAAGTAAGGGTCTTATTTCGCCACCCAAGTTTAGAACGTCAATCTTCAAACGGAGCTTCACATACCAAATATATAAAGTCTACAACTCAGTCCGGAAGGAACTAAAATTTTCTAGAATAGATAACTTCAAAGCCATGTTTAAAAAGGAACTGCTGAAAAAACAGTAGCACCGCATGAATGAATGAATGATTGTTTTTTTTTTGTTAGCGTGTAGGTATGTCCCTCTTTTATAGTGACATGTATGTATTATCGGTTTATCGGATGTCATATGTCGTAGAGGATACTGGGCTAAGTGGAAGAGCAGGTTGTTGGTACTGTGTACTAATCAAACTGAACTTCGCCTTTTATTGACACTGGATGTACTTATGTTCACTTACCATTTTGTCAATGTCTTATGTCAATAATAAAGACGGTTATTATTATTATTATTATTATTATTATTATATCAAATTGCTTCTTTTGACAAGGCCTACCTGAATATGCAATAAAGTGTAGGCCTTTCCATTTAAAAAAATGTATGTTTCGGTCACTACTTAGTTATATCCCCTGTAGAAATAAAGTACATTCCAAGTAAGAAGCATACTGCTGGCTACAATTTTTGTAATTAACTTTTTTAAATTCCACGCGTAATAACGAAGTCATCGACCACGCCGACGCAAAAAACTGACCCTGTATAATATGAAGAATTGCGTACCTGTCTAGAAAACTTCTGTTTCTGTTGCCTCAGCTCAGCTAACTTGTCAGAAACCTCTGTATACTCGGCCATGGCGAGCTTCTTTTGAGCCAGCGCGTCTTTCAGTTCCTTATCCTGAAACTTCAGTTTCTCCAACAAGTCCTGCTTGTCTTTTTGAATCTCCTCTTTCTCCTGCTTTAACAGCCTGATGGTTTTCTGTAGTTCTTTTGTTTTGGAGTCATCGGTTCCGTCCATCGAGTCTATGTGCATTTCTCTCGATTGGCCAGATTCGAGACTTCGCAACTAAAAAAAAAAAAAAAAAATATTAAGCTTGTGAATGTTGCGTCGCACTTTTCATTTGTAAAGATTATATTTACGCAAAGTTAGTGAACAGTTCACAGTATCGTGTCAAAGGTAAAAGAATGTTCTAAAAGAGTACAGGCTCTTCAGAGTGTATCCTAATTAATCTCCATGTTATTCTTAGTCACCGGATAAAACCTTACATGCTGAAGAAAATTAAATTTCTGACGTTTTGGCCAACCCGCTGATTGACATTTGATTGGTATACTTAATAAAAATGAAGTCTTCCACATCGTACACTACCAAAGTGAAATATTTTACATAAATGCCTTTAAATGCCATTACTACCTAAGTACCTGCAATTGCAATTGTCCACTAACTTGTCTTAATTTCATTCCATCTTTCCGACTGTGATGCATTGAGGTATCTGTCACAATTAGATTCAACATCTTAAAATAGCATACATATGCGTGTTTTGAATAGATTTAATTTAGACTTAAAACACTATCAAGAAACACAAACATTGAGAATATTCAAATATCAACCAAAAATGCACATACACAAAAACTGACTACACTATCTCAATACAATACATGGATGAATTTAGTATCATTATGAGTTATAACAGTAATTTGATTCGTTGTGTAACACGAAATGCGTTGTTCACTTCCTTTGTTCATCGGCTAATCCACCGAATAAAGGCCACAGCTGATAACAAAAGGGTCAGTTACATTATCTAAGAGTAAACAAACAGATTTCCAGCTGGGCGCTGAGAAACGTTTTTTAATATTGAATAGAACAATTAGAACAATTCATAGCACATTGGATGATATACCGGGTTAACAAAAATATGACGCACTAAAGATTTTCGGGGAAGGAAGAATGTTCTTATTTTTTGAAGGCGTAGCATAGAGAAAATATTAATAGTTGGCAAGACAAAAAAGTACCCTGTGGTAGTTAAGAGCTTCATAGATACTGAAATTTTCATCGTATGACCTATGTTTTCAGTTATACGAACAATAAATGTGTGTCGTTGACGACACGATGTTAGAACGGTTACTTTGAACAAACTTTAAAAAAACAATTCACTAATGTAGAAACTTGATCCTTTCGAATAATGTCTGGTTCAATATTCAATCACTCCTAAATTGGCCGCACTGCTCCATTGGTACCGAGTATGGATAGTTCTATAAAAATGAAGGTCCAACACGCGTTTCAAACTGAAAAAAATGCTGTCATCATCGTCAAGGACTATGTTCGGCACAGGTTAACTCTTGTGAAGAAAAAGTTAGCTGCAAACGAGTATAGCAAAAAAATTAAATGGTTCAAGTCAGTCAAACATGCCCATAAATACACACACCAGTCAGCCAGCGCTAGCGGCGAGCGGTCAGGGGCAGGCACTATTTTGTTCGCATAGGTATACGTTTTTAGAGTTGCCGTACCACCTATACGAGACGCGCCAGTTGAAAATACTCAAGATTCAAGGCCAAATAATATGTCAAATATGGTGTGTAAAATTACCGGAATTGGAAGCATAATGATACTACCGACAAAAAATTGAGATATACCTTACAACCCCCAATCCCAATTTTTAATCACTACATCATTTCTGTCCGAAAATGAACATCAAAAACATAAGTTTTTGCGGTTATTTTTTCGTTTTTTGCATGTAGCTCTGCCGCTACTTGACCGATTTTTAAAAATTACAAAACTTTTTCGTCATTGGCATAGTAGTAACTTTGGATCAAAACTGGATCAAAATCCAAGCGGTACTTTCGTTATACAGGGTGGCCATTATATAACTGACTGATTTAAATTGTTCGCCATTTTTGATACACGCATTTCAGTAGGTGGCGCCGTAGTGTTTGTCTTGCCAAGGTCGGGCCGTGTTCGAACTGTTCGTACTCCGGAAAATATCGAGAGAGTTCGTGAAAGTGTAGTGGAGCGCCCTGATACGTCTACCAGACACGTCATTAGGCACTATTTAAAAAAGAATCGGCCAAACAAAATTCAGTTAACCCAAGAACTACAGCCTAGTGACCATGAAAGTCGCCGACAATACAGCCAAGCAATATTGCAGCTTAATACCCAAAATAACGATTTTTGCCGACAACTGATAATGAGCGATGAAGCCCACTTCGATACGAACGGATTTGTTAATAAGCAGAATTGTAATATCTGGGCATTAGAGAAGCCTCGGGTCATCCATCAACGACCACTACATCCTCGGCGAGTCACAGTTTGGTGCGGTGTTTGGTATGGAGATGTCGTTGGACCTTACTTCTTTGAAGACGCTGCAGGTAATTCTTTTACTGTCACTGGCGAGCTACCGTGATACGGTGCAAAACTTTGTGGCTCTGCAAATCCAACAAATTTAACCTGCAAAACATATGGTTCCAGTAGGACGGAGCAACTTGTCATACAGTTAGAGAAACAATGAATCTTTTGCGAAAAATATTTCCGGGACGTTTAATTTCTCGATTTGGTGATGTCAACTGGCCACCAAGATCACCGGATTTAACGGCTTTTTTTATGGGGATTTTTGAAAAATAGGGTTTATGCCAGCAAACCAAATGCTGTAGGGCAGCTGAAGAACAATATTACGGAAGTGATTGAAAATATTCCTTCCGAAACTTACCAAAAACTGATAGAAAATGTAATCAAGAGAGCTCAGGTATCCGCGGCTTCTAGAGGCGGACATTTGTCTGATATTATTTTTCATAAATAATTTATAAGTTTCAATGAAAGATTACGATGAAAAAAATGGACGTATTTTATTTCATTTCAGAAATATTCAACATTCAAACCAGTCAGTTACATATCGGCCACCCTGTAGAAGACAGACAGGCCGACGGAAATAAGTGACATGGTTTTTTTAACGAACATGTCATGTAACATCCAAAAATCATATCTCATTTCCGAAATTTTTCATGAGAATGGCGCGGAGTTTAAAACCATGGATCCAGGACGGTTCCGCAACAACAAGCCATGCCGGGTACAAAAATTTCTCAACCGACCAGCTGTGTTCGTTTTGACCTGCACAAATTCTGCTCCCAAGGTTTCATCGCAGAGATCTGCGGGATGATACTGCATTGTTTGGTAGGTACTCGTCTACCTCCTCCAAACGCGATATAAAAAAATCCAACATTAATACGATCATCGAACCGGTCTGGTACTAGGTAGCGATTAAAAGCGAGCCGCCTGAATTTGAGGAGTCGTATCTTTATAAGACAGAGATATGTATTTACGTCGGTATGTAAACATGAAATAACATTGAAAACGAAAAACTGATTTGTACATATCGGGTATTTTTATTAAATATGGTCCTTTACAAATTATTGGGACTAGTTTTTGAACACCTTTATTGGTCAAAACAAAATGTGCCCATTTTGCTGCGTTTTCCATTACTTTTTCGAGCATCTCTGGTGGTGTAGCGGCGATTGCGGTACGAATGTTTGCCTTGAGTTCTTCAGTGGTCTGGAGCTTACTGGCGTACACTTGACTTTTCAAATGACCCCACAAGAAGAAGTCCGGTGGGGTCAAATCTGGAGACCTGGGTGGCCAGTCAATGTCACCTCTTTTTGACATCAGGCGTCCAGGGAATTTTCGTTGCAGAAACTGGATTGTTTCATTTGCAATGTGGCATGGCGCACCGTCTTGTTGAAACCAGTAACCATCAAAACCTTTTTCACGCATTTGTGGGCAGACATAATGAATCAACAACCACCGATATCGATTTCCATCGACTGTTCCGCTTTCGTTAAAGAAAAATGGCCCAATGATGGTTTTGGCGCAAACGCCAGCCCAAACAGTCACTATCCGGTCATGCAACGGCATTTCGTGGATCTCATGTGGATTTTCCGCCCCCAAATGCGGCAGTTTTGCTTATTAACGTCGCCAGAGAGCATGAAATGGGCCTCGTCGGTCATCACAATTTGCTTCCAAAAATCAGGTTCAGCATCAACCATGCGAGCGACTGTTTGGGCGTATTCCAAGCGACGTTAACGGCCAGTTGGCAATATTTTTTATGTTAACTGCACCTTATAACGAAACAAATGCAAATCATCCTTCAAAATGCGCGGTGACGATACGACACTTTTGGGTTCTGGGAAACGCTGTCTCTGACCGCTTCAACCAATTCATTGGAACGTCTGGGTCGTTGATGGACGGTATGTTGACGATCTCCCACAGAAACACGTATAACCAAATCACTCGGTTGGTAAATATCAAAGTCATACGATGTTTCAATACCGACGTAAAATATGGCGCACCCGGTACTTGGTACTATTTCAAGTGGTTTCAAATGAGACTAGGATGTAGTATTATGTATCAAAATTGAAGTTGGCTTACCTGTGATTCCAGCTCACAGTTCCGCTTCGTCAACATATTGATTTCGTCCTGCAACTTCCGCGTACCATCTGGAGACATTCTCTTCTCCACCTCCCGCTTCTCGACGTCCACCTTCTGCTGATTCATCGGGATCATTTCGCTCTTGTTTCGTTGGTTCTGTAGCTCAGTCGTTTTGGAAGAGGTAATGTACATGGTCAGGTTGCTTAGATCACAAATGAAACTGAAAAGAGATCTCAATTTAGAACATGCCATGTAGTTTTTTAGTATGACATATTCAATAGACAGTGACCTACAGTATTAAAAAGGTCCTTTATAGATATGAACTTTATACTTCTTTTACACAAAATGTAGAGGCTAGTGTCGACAATCAAACATTCATCTACAGTATTTTTCACAATACTTTTACTAATCAGCAAATAAAACTTAATATCCAGTCTGTTCTGTGGGCAATAATGAAATAGTTGAAACTCAGGACCGTGTTCAGAACTCTTTATACCAAACACTGAAGATTTTTTGTTCGTACCTACCTACATACTTTTAGTGACTGGGAGTTTTGACAATATACGAAGTACACACAGAAAAATGTTTTTTGGAAACTCATTATAGTACATAACGTGTTTCATTCATTACAAGGTAAGTCAACTGAACGCTTCTTATACAATTTGGTTAAAAACTCCTCTGTTGTTATTTTGTTTATTGGGCTAGCACTTTGATCAGCTTGTCTGTTTACTAGTGCCTTTTTCATTTTTTTGTTTTTTTTATTTGTATTTTTTTACTCCGCAAATAAGCGCTATTATTATTATTATTATATATATAAAAGTACAGATGGTAAACATAGTCAAAAACAGTGGCCAATTTAGATGGGGGCACCCTCCCCTAGATAGCCAAGTCTGCCATATTTCTCAAGAAAATGTGCTGAATATGTTCTTGACTTTTTCTGAGTACATACTTTAATACCCTATATTAGCGTTTTCAGTATCCATCTGTAAGTCACACTTCATTGAGCATATGGCAATAAGAGTTGCGAGATGATAAGCTGCACGATAATATAAACTACTCTACTATGTTTTCACCCCGATGCTCGACTCTATAAAAGCAGGGACTCTTAAACTCTTAGAAAAGTATTAATGTCTAAACTCTTACCTTCCTTGTGTAAAAGAAAAACCAACGAAAGGCAAATGTAAACCGGTGAAGGCATTATTGGCAGTAGGAGGCATAGCATCCGATAACCGTATGTCAGCATCGTCCACGTCAAAATTCGAAGTATCGGTGGGGCTAGACACTTCCGGGATATAGGGGGCGTTGCTGTCCCTTATCCCCTCCCAGTCCACCCCCTCGAACCACGGATGATTCTGGAATAGATGCAAGGTCAGGTCATGATTAGTATTTATGTTAGAATAGGCATTTGAGCGAATGTTTAAGTTAATGAGGTGCCTCAGATTACTAAAGAAATATCACGGTACAAAGAGTAGTAGAGGCCAATTTCCACAGGTTTACAAATGTGCACCAATTGTCGGAAGTTTTGAGTTTGATATGACAAAATTGGCCAATTTGCTGCATGAGAGGCAAGCCCTTTATTCACAAAGAAGCCAACATGACCTTAACCTCGACAGCTTGTAGAACTAAAAAGTTATGCAGGCTTCGAAGGAAAAGAGATAAAGTTGTCAGCTAAGTCAATAATGAACATGACCATATCAAAACAACAATGCGTATCTCAATGACACATTGCGCTTTTTTGCATATAAAACACAGAAATACCAACAAATTGATACAAAAATATATTCCCAGGAACTTGCCTCCAATTAAAAAAAAAAAAAACAACAGAACATATTCACTCGGAAAGCATCCAAAGTTAATATATTTTGCTGTGTACTATAGCGAAGAAACAGACACTTGAGTACTTCACAGTGAACCGTCCGTGATACCGCTATAGATAATTATCTACCTTCGAGTTTACAGTAAAAAGATTTTAGGCACTTTCTACCAAGATTGCAAAGGATATGAGTCTTTGGTTTGTCATATATTTCTCATCATCATCGGCACATTCGCTTAAAGAAAATATGGTAATAACAGTACAATGAAAATCTCAAAATAGCTCAATTAGGAAAAAGTACCTTGAAATCTTCGATCCCGTTTTGCCCTAACCGAAACTCTTGGCTGCAAATGAGTTGTTTAATCAGGTCCTTCGCAGCATCGGAGACATCCACGTCAGTCGGAAAATCAAAACAATTTTTGTGGTTCATTATTTTGCCGTACGTTTCCACAAGACTTTCGGCGTAGAACGGCGTTTCGCCAAATAACATTTCGTACATACACACTCCTGTAAATTTCATTAAACCAATTAAAAAAGTAGAAATTAACTGCAACCCTAATTATGCGTACACAACGTGTACACTACTAGTTCAATATCTTAGTCTGTTAAAAGCAATTAACTCATTTTTTGTAGTGTTCTAGAATATCCAAAGAGTACTATAAAAGTTACATGTTACTGCATGTTGGGACATGCATAGTAGCCGCCAGCAGCACGACTGTTGATTTAATTGTTCATTCGTATTGACAGTGTAAAGCGCGGACTATGGAATCGTGGTCACGGGCGTAAAGGTGTAACTTTACGCGTGGATTAATCAAAAATGATTGTCCTCATCGTACGACTATATTCAGGTGGTACGCTGAGAGGGAAGGAAGGCCGCGAACGTCAGTAATAGAGGAAAACATTACTGTTGTGAGGACAATGCTTGATGAAGACCGAAGAATGACACCAACTGATGGAGGAGTCCTTACACCTTAATGCACCGGCAAATTATTCAATTCTGCATGACCATTTACACGTAAGGAAACTTTGTTCTCTCTGGGTAGTCTGACGGAAGAGCAGAAGACTCGTCATGCGACTTGGTGCCGGAAGATGCTGAAAATGTTTAATAAGGGACAATCTCGGTATATGAAACAGTATCGTGACAGGTGACCAGACATGGCTCTAGTATTATGATGTGCCGACCCAGGCTTAAAACAAAGATTCAGTCTTTGATGATGAGGACACATCCGTAGCTGTCAGAAAATCCCGATCTGTCAAGACAAAAAGATAGCTGTATGTTTTAAGTCGAGCGGGATTGTGGAGCGTGTCGTTTTGGACATATAGAAGATAGTCACAGCTAAGTGGTACACGGAACAGTGCCTGCCTAAAGTCATAGAGTCTATGAAAAACCTGCGGCCAAAGTCAAGAATGGACACTTGGTACCTCCACCATGACAATGCTCCAGCTCACCACGCCAAAGCCTGCATTGAGTATTACTGGACTGAAACTTATTGAGCAGCCTCTTTACAGTCCAGATCTTGCTCGCTGCGACTTCGCACTGTTTTCACATATGAAAATGAAGCTAAAAGGAAAACGGTTTTCTAGCGATGAGGACCTTCTGAGGGCTTGGGACAAAGTGTACCGCACTCCAGGGTGAAACTTGGCAGAGCTGGTTTAAGGACTAGTTGTAGCGGATCGAGAAGTGAATGGAATGTGGTGGAAATTACTTTAAAGTTAATAAATAAAGCTGTATTGCAAAACTTTTAAAGTACCCTTTGTAATAGCGTGGTATTATAATCCCTATCTTGAAAAAGTGGAGCATCCTCAGAAATGATTCGTGAAATTTGTGCTGTACAAACATCGATTTCCATATAAGGACTACCAACACAAGATCACAACTAGTAGGAATTGGAAATCTTGAAAAATGACACAATGGCATATTTCTTTTGTAAGTTGGTTATATAAGGCTATTTTGGAATGCTGAGGAGAAAAGCTCGGTCCAGAAAACACTTTTATACAACTGTCCATGTGTTTCTTAAAAACTGCGACTCGGGGTTGGTTGATTCGAATCATTTGAATTTAACCATGATTTATATTTGATTTAAACCATGATTTATTTCAGGTGTTTTTTTTTTGATAAAAATCAGTATTTAAATCAAACTTTTTTTCATGTAAGTATACCTAGATTAACAATGATCGAACGAGCATGAATACATATATACATATACACTAATGTCGCAAGTGATATAAATAATAGTTCTGTTAAGGGGTTGTCTGTTAATAAAATCATTATCTACGGTTTACTGCAAATATTAAGTCAAATTTATAATATAAAAATAAAAATAAAATGATGATAAAAATATGAGATTTGATTCATTTCAAAAGAAATTTGTCAGAAACAAGAGAAATCATGATTTATATTGAAATTTACCTCTTCCATCGCGGCTTCAAAGTCTTCAAAAACAAAACAAAATATCAGTAACAATAGCAAGGATGTCAAATTTTGGTCCCGCTAGGTGGCGCTTGTGTGGTTGGAGGTCAAAAGGAACGATTCGATAGAGCTGTAACCTATTTTTTATGACTTCATTACATTTAGACGTCTATTGGCGACAGATGATTAGCAATTGACACCGTTGTCTGTTCACGACCTTGAGACATGAACTCCAACCTAACTAGCATCTTTCCTGATTATCCACCACTGACACTGTACCTTGCTATCTCATTTTTTTCTTTTTTTGTATCGTTAGTTTCACATTTAGATTTAGCTAACACTGGTTTGTCCGAAGCTATTATTGACAGTACAAATTCACAAAAAATGTTTTTATTTCTACGTTAATTATGATTTAAAAACTTACCTAACGACCACCAATCGCATTCAGGTCCATATCTACCTTGCCCATCTTCCATCGCCTAGAAAATTTGAAAGGAACAGTTTAAAATATATACCTTTCGCATATACTTTTTAAAATAACATACCCTTAGAATTTCTGGTGAAATATAATCCGGAGTTCCAACAGCGACGTTTGACTGTACCATTCCGTCGTCGTTCAGTTTCAAACAGCTACCGAAATCAGCTAATCTGATGTGTCCATTTGCGTCCAAAAGAACATTATCCGGCTTTATATCCCTGAAAATAAATATACCCCATAAGAAATAACAATATTTTCATTTATTAGAAACAGACTTTAAATGTCTCCAAATTCGTGATATACATATGTTAGACTGCTGTCTTAATTCGGGTGGCAAGCTTCTTCAGAGGTCCTTCCGATGCTTAACCAATTTATCATACATATGTTAAGTTCAAAAAAATTCAAAATGAACATACTACTTGAAATTACAGTTGTAGTAGCTGAAATTCATTATCTACATTTTGGCTTTCACATATGATGCAATTTATTCTCGTTTTGCACTCGTCTATTGGAAAAACATATTTGAAACTAGTGTATTGGAAGAGAATCCTCTGTATAGCCCATTAGAGGAATAGCTAATAGGATTTGATTTTGATGCGTATAAAGCACGGCAATTAAGTTTACATTAATTGTCAATGGAGGGAAATAAGGTGCAAGGAAAAAAATAGTGCATCACACTAAAAATTTCTGCGTCACAAATTTGGCACGTAATTTCACATTTGACCTTTGGAGAACAAGTACTGCTACATGTACCATCTCTATCTTGTGGTTTTCTTGATCATTATTCTCCATGTTTTCCGGGCCGATAAATGAACCTACAATGACAGTATATTGTCATTTTTATTTGTACTTCGAAAAAAAAGCAATCGAAACGTACATATGTGGTTTCATTTAATGGCCAGAAAAAATAACATGGAAAATTATGTTTTGCTACTTTTGATCAAAGAAAAAAGTGACAATACATAAAACGTGTTGCTATAGCTAACAATGAATGTATCTTAGGGGAGAATCCAGTTACAACAATATCCAACATGCATCTTTATGGAAGACCAAGTACTTTTCGTATCAATATTCTATGCGATAACAAAGCAATACTAACGCAAATTTACATTCTACTACCTCTTATCTCTGCGTCGCATATTATGTGCACGTTCATTGATATTCAAACAGTACGAGTATATTAAAATACAAAGGCAAACAAGTATGGTAGACTGACGCGGTTTGGACGAAGTGAGTAACATGATCAATCAAAATTTCGTTATTGCGATTACAATTTACTTTCACTAAAAATAACAATAAGCATAACCCATTTAATCTAAACCGGCCTGTATCCAAACTTAGAATATTTTCTGACTAATACATTGCAACACTCCTGATGATTCACGCTGCCAAACTACTGGTTTAACCTTTAAACTTTACATTCCCAGTTTTAACATATTTCTTCCTCAATTTTTATTATCTGACTGGTGTTGATTTTCTGACTAATACTTTGCAACACTTCTTATGAATCATGCTACCAAATTGATGGTTTAACCTTTAAACTTCCCAGTTTTTTAAAATCTTCCCAAATTTTTATTTTTTGACTGACGTTTAGGAGCCGCATACTTCCAAACCTTGACGGCGTGACATAATGTCTGACATTTATTCAGAGTTGCATCCTTTATTCAATGAAGGAACAAATTTATAATAGTTCTAGCTATCACTAGCAAATACTACCGATTTTTAAGTGCTAATCTATCATGGCCAAATAAAATTGTAGCTAATTGATAGAATATCGACAATAAAGCAAATTTTAACTGGATATACATATTTGCAAATCACTTACCTATGTACATATCTTAGTTTATGTATAGAATCAATGGCGAGAACCATTTCTGCAATATAAAATCGCGCCATTTCTTCAGGAAGACGATCTTCGAATTTGCTAAGCAACGTTAAGAGATCACCGCCACAGTAGTAGTCCATTACTAAATATAAATTATGCTCATCCTACAAAAAAGCAATCCATAAATATACCACAAAAATCAAAATAACATGGTATTATAAAGAACTTGAAGTTTGTTGTTACAAATTTTGAACTAGTAAAGAGTATAAAAATCGGCAACAGCGTCCAGGTACATTATTTTTTATAGTTGATATCTTAAATCTAGTACCTATAGATAAATTCTAAATATGGGTAATGGTGTATCGGTATTCTATCTATAGTATCATATAGAAATGGTATTCCTTTTCCTACCGGAGATAACAAAAATACTGTATGTACTCTATAAATAAAAAAATTGTTTCTATTTTCAAATATCGTGCCATTTTTGTGACGTCATTACTTTTGGCGATTGGTGAATAACGTTTGTTGTCAGCGAAACAACTAAAGTGCAAAAATGAGTATTTTGGATTGAATAATTAGTAAAGTTTTTCTTTATTCTTGTCATTGATATGAATGCAAATGCTTCATCGCTGGTAACGGAAAATTGAAGAGGGGAAGGGAAGGGTGGTTGTTGTTAACTTAATCGTAGGAAAGATTACATATGGCGAGATGTCAACGTAACAACAAAGACAAAAATGACGTCAGCAGCATATTTAAACGAGTTCCTACTGCGAAAACTTAGTTTCGTAGAGAGCACTCAAACAAAAAAGTGGACATCAAAACACTTATTCAGCTCGTTGTAATATGTGGTATTAAATACCTGGAAGGCGTAATGCAGATGTGTAATCCACCTCCTATCACCGTAGACCAAAACGTCTCTCTCCTCTTTGAAACAGGCCGTTTCAGCCCTTTTTAGCATCTCCCATTTGTTCAGTATCTTCATGGCATACACTTTCTCAGTACCTTTGAATTTTACCACGCAAACTTCTCCAAAAGCTCCGCGCCCTATTACCTTAACTATCTCGAAATCATCTCTGGTCAGTCGTAACGTTTTGACAGACGTTGCGATTGGTTTCACTGTGGAGATAATATTACCGTTAGATTTACAAATGAAATACACTTTTTCAAATTTATTAAAATTAGTTGAGCTAATAGGCAGATTATTTCACCATCCTTTAGAAAAAGAAAATCATTGATGTACATTACATAAGTTTCGATGTAGGTTTGAGCAATATAGCAGTATACTATTCTGCCATTTTGAAAACAGACAAAACAGATCAGAGATCAGGAACACGAAAAACCCCAGTATATACTTTTATTTTACAGCTTTTAGAGAATTTTGGTCCATAGTCCTTACTCAAAATAATGAGCTAGTCACCGAAAATTTCGTAGTTACGGAAATACTGACTCAGTGTGCTAATAAGCGTACTCTATTTGCGTCATGTTAAATATAAATAACTTAACATCTATATACAGAAGATTCTCCAAACTATTCACGGAGCCATCTTAACAACGCAAGTCTCCAGGTTGAAAACACCGTTCCGGCATATCCAATACAATATAGCAGTGCAACTTCAGACGATATAAGATTATGCTCGCAATCAGTGGGCCGATTTACACTTTCTAAAGCTGATTGTACTCCTTTAGTAGATATCCCCGTATTACTGCACTGCGTCAGTCATGCGTTACGACAGCGCGTGGCAGCGTTCCGAAGGGTGTGCCGAGCCCCCAATATCGTAGAAAATCCTCCAAAAATTCAAAGTAAATTTCAGGAAGTTGCACCGCTGTATTGTATTCGATATACTGTAACATCGTTACACGTACAAAACAAACGACTACTGAATGGAATCGAAAATAAAGTTGTTACGTCTCGTCGGTTGACGCTCAAAATAAAAATAAATAACTTACCGGTTGGTAAATTGATTAACGTATTCATTTTATTAGCATGCTGGGTAAAGATCACACATTTTGGACCAGCTCCAACATCTGCGAGTCGGTTGGCTTAAGAGCAAATACCAATTTGAAAGTGAAACTTTTTTATTTTATTTGGCGTTATCAGGATGCGCCGCCATGAGATAAGCTGTAGAGTTACATTATTTTCATACAAATTCCAGACATTTTCCGTCGGGTTATAGCCCTCTCTACGAGGGTAATTCAGCCACAGATCAACGTTGCACGTTGCAGCTAACAGTCTACAGTTTGCAGATGAGTGTGAATTTCTGAACTAGCTGTCAAAGTAACCGGGAGGCCCGAGATTTACGGGAGTTTTTGGACTTTAGTTTCAAAAGGGCGAAAATTTGTGAGTAGCTTAAAAAGTTGGCAAGCACCATTTGTTTCCTAATGACCCATTATATCGTATCATATGTGGATCGAATCGAGTACATCACGCAATGTAAATGTTTTATAGTGGATACCAAATAAAACCCGATGCACGTCATCGATCTGGAGCTGTGCGCTGTTGCCAGAATTGATATGAGCTCTTTACACCGACTGTTAAGTTGTTTTTGCATTTTGGATACTTTATACCACTTCACAGTAACTTTTGTTCTGAAAAGAACAACTTTTAATTGGCAAGGCAACGATTCGAAGCTCAAATAGCGCAAAACTCACAAACTAAACAATAAAGAACTAATAGTACGACAAAAGGACAATGGCAACTGATGTCAACAAATGAGAAGTGGCAACCTCACATTTCTCTGCACGGCACTACCAACCGAATCGAGACGGGGAAATTTAAACTTCAAGTAGAAATGTCACATTGAATGTAGTCAACTGTTGGTAACCATGATTTTTATGAATGACATCACCTATGACGTGCATCGGATTTTATTTGGTATCCACTATAATAAAACAATCCGTGTAACTCAAGGCAAACAACAACCTCTCAGTGCCCTACCGACGTTCAAACGCGAGGACCGTGTAGTGCCGACATCGCCCTTCCAGCACCTACCGTAACGTCAAGATATTCACTGTCATTCCAAACGGCTCGATGACACGTCAGTCCATTTTTCAGATTCTATAACACCATCCATAATCAAACACTAGATTGCTCCGAGCGATTCAGGTCTCCGCATTCGTGAATAATTTTTAATTATAGCTGTATCAAATTTGAAAGGATGGAAAGAGTTATTTATCAATTAATACGTCCTTCTCTCCCCACTTTTAACGGTATGTTTTAACACCCGTATAAAAGTGCACGCACATTGAGGGGAAGGAAAGCGTTGGGTTCCTTCACACATAATCAAATTTGAGCCCGCACATTGGAGAGATGTGAAGTGACGTTGTCACATTTGACACGTGCAAACGACAAGAGTCAATGTGCTGCTCCTCGGTGGGCTTAACATGCCACTTATGCATGCAATACAACAATCACAATTGGACAAAGTTGAGTGTTGGATTATTTTCGGTTAAAGTATGATGTAATAGTTTCAATTAAAATCAGTCATTTCCAACAATTATATCTGGGACCGTCAGATTCAGTCATCTAAACAAATCAATGATATGACGCTTTCCTAGCACTTCGCACAGTTCGGGAATGTCAGAAGCTCATTGTTGAAAATAATTTTTCAACTCTGTGATAAAAGCACCACTTACCATATTCAATAAAGTCGGAAACAGTCTTCTCCTTCCTAAGACTGGAATTGCAGCACTCGTCGTAGATCACCAGCAGTATGTCGATCAACGTTTCGATGCTGAAGCTCTGCTCCTTGGTGACGGAGGGCCCACCCAGAAAGAGCATCTCCAGCTGACGAAGCCGTCGTTCTCCCGGACCGCCGGCAACGATGCCCTGCATCGTGCCGCTTGATTTTGAATCACCCATCGATGGGCTGGGGCATTAGTGACCTGGGGACAAAAAAAAAAATGTAATCGATCCAATGTCCGAAAATTCTACAATACTGGGAAGATATTGCAGATGCGACTGTTGCGGTTTACATTTCAGCAATAACGGAAGTACTCTGTGAATGCAATGAAATCATCATGGTAGAGTCATTTGGTGAGCAAAAGGCGATAGATTGGAAAGTGATTTGTCACTTTGCTTCATCGTATCTTTTCCGCTCGAACTATGCTATAAATGTAGTGGGTGACCTGAAAGTTGAGATTTTTCTTTTCAGAAATAACTACATTTGAAATAACGTTAATTTTCGGTAAAACAGTACCGAAAACGTTAAAAAGAAACTGAAGAAAAATATTGTTTTGTTTGTGATTACTGTTTGAAGTTGTCTCTGTTCACACGAGTGTGTCTATTTTTTCCTAAATTTGAAATACTCGCTGAGTATCAATAGGATCTTGAAATTGCTCACAGTAAGCCATGTACTAATGCAACTTGTTTATAAACAAAGTTAACCTACACACCGCGAGGCTCCTGACTGGGGTACTCACTCACTTAGTCATAATACTACAAACCATCATACTCTTTAACGTAAAAGGGCAAAACCTGGGTCGAAGTGGCTTATTTGTACTTTTTCGGACCTTAATATCTCGGTTATCTTGAGACTTTGGTATTTGTGTTATTAGGAAAACTTGCTTATTATTGACTGACCTATACGCTCCGTAAAGTTTCAACTTTTAGGACATCCTGTATCTTTCTTTACAAATATCTTATCTGGTTCGCTCTGCGATGAAAATAACTATATGATAAATTAGACTAGAGAAAAATTCCTACAATACATGTATTTAACATGTTTTGTATGAATAACACTTTCGGCATACGGGAGCAGTAAAGTCTTCGCGAAAAACTGACGAGTAGAAAAGTTAAAACAAGGAAATTGGAGTAATGCAATGGCTAATTTGTGTTTTTGTAAATACTTAAAACGAAAATTGAAACTTAAGTACCGACACTAATACATTAGACCAAACAAATTTGAGAGCCTGTGATATACAGTGTAACAAATTAGCAATAATAAGTTGGGTCTACTCTGCCTCTGGCAATCTGAGTAAGTTAATTGTTTTCCATGAACGGCCCTTTTTTATATACTCGAACCACCACGAAGGCCTAAGGTCTAAACACCCATGGGGTACCGTCGGGATATAGGGGGGTACAGGGGACAGGGGGGACGCCACACGGACTCTCGCGAGGGAACTCGTGTGCATGCAACATGCACACATTCTGGCCCCGCCTACGAGATCCGCCGGGTGGTACCTCTGCGTTCGACAGTCAAGGACCGTCTACCACCTACGGAAAATCACAACATCCATAGCCTAATTTGTTACTATGTTGTGGAAGTTTTGTTGGGTTACACAGTACTGTTCAAAAGTTATTTATGAAAAACCGATTTAGAGGAGCCCCATAGGACATTTTTTAGTAGGATCTTGTATTATCCTTTGTTATATGTGCATATGAGTTGATAACATGTCATCATGACAGGAAGGTATAGGATGAGCAGGACCTTGACGTTTGCAAAGGTTGGTTTTAGAAACTACCGCCGATAGAGGAGGAAAAGGGCAAGCTAAATAGCTAAATGACCTATACACCTGTTATGACTGGCATCGGATTATTTGATGTTAATAGTACGTGAAGAATTTTGATGATGAATTCAAAATACAGATGAAATGACCTGCTTGTGATAGGTGTATTTGGGGATGCGTAATTTGGTATGTATTTACCGTTCTGTATTCATTTGCATCAACAACTGGACGTGCTTGTAACATGTCACCTTATTTGAATGCCCAAAGATATGCAAAATATTTTTGCTGAATCAACTTTTGTACATTACACACGTAGCTGCAGTACAAGTACAACATGTCCAATATTAGTCAAAATTCATACTAAGTGGCGTCAGATTGCCTCGATTAATATCCGATACCCAACAACGCAACAAAGTAAAAGCGTATTTAACATAGCTTCCGGTGACGAACGATCACTGTATCTCTATGACCCTGGAACTAAATAGCACCAGACCGGCGTATTTAAGGTGAGTTTCCGTCAATAAACGAAATTATAATCATTGCTTTCCTAAAAAACTGCACATGACCTTACAATTAAACGCTATTGATATGTCATAAGAGATTAATGTTTCTTAAAAATCAACACATCATACCAATATGATACCCAGGTAGAAAGTTCTAATATGTTACAGCATTGGTTCCAGTCAGTAGGGTTGTTTCAATCCACCTTAATTCAATGATGAGCTTCAAATCGGGGCTTTTGAAAATCGATTAACCAAAACTTTGTAACCAAAGGGTGACTGTTTTCGTTAATCCCCGCCAACCGCATGTAGCACTGTTTCATACTGTTTTGCATCACCAGTAGGTTGCAAGTAATGAAAGAAGACAGTTTTTACCTCCTTCTGAGATATGATGTTGGTAAGAAGCAGTGTCGCACAACTTGCCACAATGACGCCAAGATCGCCCATTACAACAAAACACCATTTAAATAGTTTTTTTGTCGGCGTTGACTACAATTCAAATCATTCAGAAGAACTTGAAGATGTAAAAAAATATCTTATCCCTTCCAGAATTTATAGTAGCTATGGAGACTCGATAGAAAAATATTACGTCCACAGTGAGACAGTCCAGTGCTTCGAAACCCGGGTGACGATGATTTTAGACTAATTTATCAGATATTTCTCACTTTTGCGATCACTATATTGGACCTTTCTCATATCTCTAGAGCATGATCAATGGTTCTGGATACAAGGGCGGTCCGATAAGTACTGAGCCTCACCGACCGATGGCGCGCCTATAGCAATATAGGTAGACCGCCAAAAACTAGTTTCAACGTGGTCGTAGGTTGGTTTTTGATAAGCCACGCCCAGGTGTCCCGAAAACGGCTACCACGGGGGATAATCTGACAAAAATCCACGATCTCGCATTGGTAGACCACCGATTGAAGGTGTGCGAGGTAGCTGAAACAGTAGGCATCTCAAAAGGCCACGTGGTTCATATCCTGCATGAAATATTGGGCATGAGAAAGCACAACTGTGTGACCACTTAACAGCGTTTGACGCCGTTTAAGCGCAATTCGAAGGCGTTTCTGCGTCGTTTCTTGATGTTGACGAAACATGGGTCCACTGGTACACACCAGAGCCTAAGAAACAGTCGAAACAGTGGACTTCACCTGGCGAACGTGCTCCGAAGAAGGCGAATACTATCCTATCGGCGGGAAAGGTTATGGCAACCGTTTTCTGGCATTCACAAGGTGTGTTCTACTTCGACTACCTGAGGAAGGGCAAAATAGTCACAGTGGCCTAATAAGCCGAATTATTGGGCCGATTCGACGCTGAAATGCAGAAAAAATGGCCCCATTTGGCGAAGTAAAAAGTTCCGAAGGCCAAATTAGGCTACGACGTGCTGCCCCAACCACCGTATTCTTCAGATTTGTCCCCGTGCGACTTCTTTTTGTTTCCAAACTTAAAAAGTCACTCGCCGGGTAGAAATTTGACTCGAATGGGTTAACACCGCCACGGAGGCCTACTTTAAAGACCCCCAGAAAACGTTTTTTTTTTCAGACGGGTTAAAGAAGTTGGAGCATCGCTATGTCTAGTGTATTGAGCTAAAAGGAGAATATATTGAGAAATAAATCGTCACTTTTTAAAATCTTCGTTTTTCTTTTGTAGGATAACTAGTTATCGGACATCCCTCGTAGATCAGCATTCTGATCTACACTTAAACTGTGTCCGCCAGTAAATACATACATATGAGCTGTTAAAATATTATGTACCTAAAATATTCAGGGGCCTTATTAAAAACAAGTCGTTCAAAACGAAGCTTTAATACGGGCATTTTATGGCTGATATTTCCAAATAGCTATGGACTATTCCCAATATATTATGATTACCCAGTATATCCATCAACCTGAAATTGTCGTTAAAGGGTAACATTCCTATTAGCCGATACCGTGCCTGAATACCTGTTTATAGCTTCCGTGAAAAAATTCTAATTTTGATAATTCATGATCGACATTTTTCTAGAAATGATAAACGTGAGAGATGTGAAAACGGTTCGAATAATGGTGACAAACTCTGATTCTGAATTGGTTGATACATTATCTATAAGATCTAGTGTTTTCTACTACATCCATAGTAATGCGATTAACGTTATATTCGCTTAGGCGACTCGAAAACTTCATGCCTTTTGTAGAACGAGAATATCACCCGAGATACATATTTATGAACTGCCTTTGGCTTACTTGAGGCAACATGATTTACTTAACCAGCAAAAAAAAAACAGTAGACAATACATTTTTTTAAACAGGATCCCTTCCATAATTGGTATCTGCTATGGAAGATTCACTTGTAAAACTTAAACACACAACCACCTCATTAAAAAAATATGACTGGTATGTTGTTTTCAAGTTCATTTTAAAAGAGGTTATACCTGCTGGAATGAGGATTAAGCAATAATTGCCTTACACTATATTCAGTTCTAATAATAGCTAATCAATTGCTCCAGTAATAAATAGATGGAAAAGGGGGATTAAAATACATAACAGGTTAAGAACCAATCTTTTGAGAATAATAAATCAACTATTATCCTAGTGATTTTTAGGTATCAAAAGAAACAAGATCCTTTCATAGCTCATAAATCCTAGCTTTCTGTCTCAGGGTTTTACCCGCGGAACGTGAAGGTGGCGCTACTAATAAAGTAAATAAATTATCCAAGCATGTCAGTAGACTGTCAAACTATTGATGTCATTAAAGATACAACACCTGATCTGCAGGGCTATTATGTAAAAAATCTATATAATATCAAAAAATCGGTAACATGTCAACTTGTGCACTAGATAGCCGCTAGTTCATTCCGCGCCTGCCACAAGTGAGCATGAAGTGAATGTCAGCTAGGTCAAAGGTGACATTTTATAGGAAAACCTACATAATTTTATAAAATCGCTATATTGTCACTTTTCAAGTTATGTAATATAGGTGCGTAAGTTTATAGCATTACTTCTACTCTATCTATATACATTGGTACGTTACATAAGAGTTTCAGCTGGCCACGCATGTTAAAGTATGGCTAGCATTAACTTGTGCATGGGTGGTTCACAGCAGAAAATATCACTCAGGTTATGTGATCTTTCAAGAAAAAACCATTAAACTTTTTAGGAATCAGTTCAGTGGCTATGAACCGACTGTTAATAAAGTTTAGAAAAAAAGTTGGAACAAAATTCTTGAATGCTTTCTACAAAGTTCTGTAGAGGAGAGGCGGCGGAATCTCAATTGGGTACTTTTTCTATGTAGAAGCTAGTTCAATTGAAGCAGGAGTAGAAGAAACGAGTTTTCACTGGCTACAAAGGCATGATTTTATAAAAATCAAAAAATAGTAATTTTCAAAAGGTAGAAGAAACGAGTTTTCACTGGCTACAAAGCCATGATTTTATAAAAATCAAAAAATAGTAATTTTCAAAAGATGATACCTGGGCTATATTCTAGCTAGCAATATAAGCTTATAAGATTCAACAAGATTTTTTTATGATGAATAACAGCCATGGTTTGTTGATCTAATTTTGTGGACTACCAAAGCTATTCTGTCACTACTGCTTTTCAGCATAACTATGGTAGCCCCTGAACCACTTTATTTTAGCTGATTGCATGCAATTCCTTGATAATCTCCCTCATTTTCTCAGACTGAAGATTTGTTTCAGGACATGTCATTTTATTATAAGCGAAAATCAAATACTTAAAGCCAGGTTGCCGCTTTTGTTGCCTGCTAGAACCAACCTACTAACCAGCTATACGCGGTAAACTTTATATAGACAATAAGAAGCCATAAAACATTTTGGAGAGCATGAGTTTTATTTTATTTTTATTACTATGAGATAAATTAAATTCCTGAAACATACTTTGTGGTGTATGAAAAAGTGTGAGGTTTGGATGACTACAAAAGTCATACATTTTGATTTTTTAATAGTAATGTTTATGTTTTGATGAAAGCAATCAGCATTCTGAGCTACTTAGAATACATCATTTTAAACATAAAATGTAAAATAAACACTATGATGGCCCTATTATTTGGTAGGTACAAATGCTTTCAATGAAATGATGTATATTTTTGATGTACAGGTATATACTGAAAAAAAGTTTGAACTCTACAACCACACAACAAATGCACTATCAGGTAGTGATTCTAGAATAAAAAGACAACTGCCAATTGTGGAAGAGCTTATACATAAGCATAAGTACACACTTTCTTGGACATTTACAGTACAACTAAAAATTTAAAGCTAGCACATTAATGGCAAAAAAGTGTATAGACTTATAAAAATGTTGGCACTGAAGTAGAATTCTAGATGTTTTGTGGTAACATTTTTTAGTCAAAATAATATCATTTTTCATGTAAAACGAATTAGAAAAACTGCAAATTTATAGATTGTTACCTCAATCCTTTTTTAAGGCTCCATAAAGTAAGTGTCAACAGTTTTTTACATATGCACCCTAGTAATAAAAATTTGATAAGACCTGGGTCGAATCAAACAATCCTTTGATAAACCTGTTTTCTTTCTTATAAAGCAGAGGTTGTCAAACATTTTGTCTATCACCCACTTTGAAAACTAATTATTTTTTAGCTCAATTGAAATATACATCATGTGCCATATAAGCCTTATGATAAGACTCCAAATCAATTCACCACCCCACTCCCATTTCCTCTTTCCTCCCCTTTCTTGTTGGTCCTCAACACACACATGGGGGCATTACTGCCTACTTTGAAAAAACTGATATAAACAATTCTCAATGTCCTCCAACTGAACCTCCTAATTCCATAAGGAAAACTCAACTCAAAATCCTTAATAAAAGAATAAGTAACAAATATTGATGATACATAAGAAAGAAATCAGAAGTGCTGGGATTCATTACAAATATAATTAAAATCTACAAGTATTCATAGAAAGATTCAGTTATTGTCCACAGCAAGGTTAAACACATTGTTGTCAACAATATTTTATGTTTAATCAATATTTTAATAATCTTGTTAATGCTTGGGATTATTGCTGGTAAAAAATACATTCCTTTCAACACAAAAAGTCTTAAAAACTATTATCCAACTAATGGTAGTGTGTTGTGTGCCTGTACCTAGAATTGCTAAAGGTTTGATACAGATTATTAGACAATCAATCAAATATATCAACACATCTGGTCATTTCAACAGATTTTAATATTAATATCCTTCTATACTTTCCTTCTGCAGAGTAGAAAGTGTTTGGTAATATCACCAAAACATAACTCAATTGATCTATTTACAGATTATCTATTACCTACTTACATTACTTCAGCTATTTGAGCAGAACAGTCATTAAGAGATAATGTTGGAACTAATTTGCATCTATTTCCACTTTGGAGTATATTGTATTAAATATTAATAGGGTACAAGTATTTAGTAGCTAGTAATGACAAATTCATGATCTTATACCTATTACATCTACATTTCGAACATGTTCTCCAGGTAAATGGTAAATAGAAAATGAAAGAAATGTCAAAATAGACATGATGGTCAACTAGTCGACTCGATGATTAATTCACGCATAATTTAAAGCAAATCTCAGCATATCCGCAATCTCTGTTTGATTCAATCAACGCTACAATGAGATCGCATAGGTTAATTGTAATAAACAATAACATATTTTGACCATTATAATTCATTGAAGTTAAAAATGTACGAGATTAACCTAAATATAAACACCACGTTCTATTGCTAATTCGATAAATCTAACTACACTATGGGTCATGCTTACGTGAAATAACAGATAAACGTTACCGCAAAAGCACTTTCAACAGATTAGTGACGCATTTTTATCACCATTTATTTCAAATAACACTTCTCCGAATACCATCGGCAGCCATTTTTGTGGAACTCCCCCACCGAGAATGGGCATTGCAGGATTGCAGCCGCATAGTTGACGGTCATTGCATTTTTTAATGATTTCGATTGAATGCCAGCATTTAGGTGGAATATCAGAACGTCCCGTAAACGAACTTAGTAGGTTGTATTCAATTTAGGTGACGATTAAAGCAAAAATATATATTTTAAGGAGAATTAAAATCATTTCAAAATATCCCTCGGTTTGTTCGGGGCCATCTACACGATGGTAGATAAACTAATAGAAACTATTGTGGTATAGTATGGTGAAATTATAGTCGAAAATATGTCCACTATGAGATAAATAACAAGGCTCAAGAGCAATGGTCCCACGGACCGCTCTGACAGACACTGACGAATAGAACACTGGTTTCAGTTCAAACCACAGTCAGACTAAAGGGCAAGTTATAAGCTCTAACGCTCCGCACCGCTGCCTTACCGTTGCCGTAAGGCAAATCTTAAATCATGCTATTATCGTTAAACTGTTTATAAACAGGAATTCCGTCACGTTCATTCACAATGCTGACGTTAGACTTGACGAAGTTTTAACTTTCTGTCGTTGTCGTTCCAGATTCGCACTAGTGGAAGGGAGCCTGTAAATCATGTGTTTCTTGCGACACATCAGCCGTTTTCTCTGCGTGCTGTTCGCCCTGTTTAACATGATATAAGATGTTTTGTTTTTTAATCGGCGTAACTCCTTTGAGAATTTCTGCTAAGTTTTATTTAGTTTATTATATAATAATATGAATTATCAGAATATCTATGTTATAAATGATGAAGACACTGCATCTGATCTGCAGACAAGTTTGGTCTTCAAATATGTGAAAAATAATGCAATTTTGGATTTGGATTTTAATTGCAGGAAGTCACAAGTCAACTGAAAACGTCAGATTTCAAGATTAAAGGAAAAAGTGGATATAAATCCAAATAAATAATGTTTTTTTCAATTTTGACTTTTATAATGACTGGGCTACGACCGTTAATTTGGCCATCTATGAACTAAAATACTAAGCTTTTTCAAAACTTTTATAGGTCTCTGTCGTGACATGTACGTCAAGTTTTACACTACATCCATGTTTGTCATGCATGACAGATGTCAGATGACCTTCCTCATTTCTAATCTCTCAAATCATTATTTTTATCTGGAACGAGAGCTTTGTTATTATTTTTTTTCCTTGTGCTTGTTCTGTACCATAAGAAATCATTGGGATTTGCTAGATAAAGAGTGACTCAGGAAAGAGGATTACTTAACATGTTTCATCAGTGCGAATCTTGCTAACAGTGATTTGTGAATTCTGCGTATTTTTTTCAGCCTACCAAAATGCTCTTTGAAAACCTCGACAAGTGTCTAAAAAAGAATCCAAATTTATCGTACGATGAAGCATGTATAGATATTAGAAATACCTTTAGCCAAAATGTCTCGATTTACTACCAGTATGATGAATGCCACAAGTGCAACTATCAACTGCTTACAGTTCTTGAGCCACTTGCAAATACTTCAGTGCTTGCTAAGACTATATCACCTATACAGATGTTTTACCGTTTAGAAGATAATGATAAGTGCCAGTAAGTATAAATATTATTATTAATAAATATTCATACCTAGCATGATAATCACTACTTTACATCAAAGTACAGTTTTGAGTTGATTTAATCTGATATGAATGCCTTCCTCAATATATAATTTTAAGCTTAACAAAACTCATTTTATATGTTGCATTTAATTCTTAATTTTCCAGTACCTATATTTTGGGAGGGGGTAGAGCTGGAAGTAATAACTTGGTATAAGTATTGGTGCAATAATATATTCTACCTAGTCAACCATATACTGTATTCTAGTATCCAAAAAGGCATTTTAAAGATACTAGCATCATCTAAGAGACAATAGCATAATGCAAAAATGAATTTGAGAATCTACTTTGAAAAGAGTTAAAGTATCTGGTTTTGCTTCTGCCTCATAAATGGCACTGAGATTTTCAATCCTTTTTTGGCCTGTCTCACGCCTATTTTAATTGGGTATTGTCAGGCATTGACTAACATAGCTCACTGAAAAGGGATTAAAGAACCTAGTGCCATCTATGAGACTATAGCAGAACTGAATAATCTAACTTTTTAAAGTGGATTTCTAACTGTCCCATAGATGGCGCTACTATTTTTCAGATCTCCTTTGGGATGCCAGAATATAGTATATGGTTGGTTATCTTCAAGTAAAATACATTAATTAATGCAAATACTTGAAAACTTTCATTATGAATGGCTATTTATTACCACAATATACATGCCTAACAAAAGGCATTTTTTTGCTCTTTAAAATTTCATGATGACTCATATGTATTAATCCCCTAGGCCCAAGTTTTTTTGGCTGGCCTGTAGATTCCTGTAATTCTTGTACACAGAAAAATATTGTTTCATTCCTTAAGCATGTATTTTTTAGTTTTCAGAAGTTGCTCTATGAACATTATAGATATGGCTGGAACATCACAGAACAATGTTCTCCACTCTATGTTAAACAACCTGCTGATGATGCATATTTGCGTAAGTTTATATTGAAAAAAAATGTATGACATTTTTAACAATATTTATAATTCTAGCTATCTTGATGGCATTTGTAGTCTTGTTCTGCTTTGGCACATTATGGTATATGGTGAAGTGTATTTATAAAAATAGTGGTAGGCTTCGACAACTTTTGGTATGGAACACAGAAATGGAAATGGTAAGCATACAAGTTTTCATGTAGTTCATCAATACTATAATCTGCACCCCACCTGAGGCACATTCCATGTATGGAATCTAATAAGAGCCAAAACACTGAGCATAATTAAATAAAAACTCTGAAATAATAAAGATGAGTGCTAAATTTGAATGGCTTAATATAGAAGTGATAAGCCTTAAAAAACACTAATAAAAATAGGATAGTAGTAGTTTCACTTAATAGAAAATGGTTTTTGACATTTTGTATACTTTGTATCAAATGCAGAATCTGATATTTTGTATTTTTTAGGATCTGGGCAGCTCTTCAGTTAGCACGCCACTGGTGATTGAAAGAGTGCCATCACATAAGAAACATCCACATCGCATAAAGTCCATAGATATCTTTAGAGGGCTGTGCATCATCCTGATGATTTTTGTCAATTATGGAGGTGGCCAGTACTGGTTTTTCAAACATTCTGTGTGGAATGGAATTACCATTGCTGACCTTGTTTTTCCATGGTATGAAAATATGTTTTAAGCCACTTCTACATTCTTTTCTACAAAGAGAGATGTGTAACCTTAAAAGAAAAAAAAATGATTTGTGTTTTCCACCACACAAGTGAGGAAAAACGGGTATAAACTGCATCAACCTGAAAAAATGTATAAACAATTATTGCAGCAGTAAAAAAATGTCATAATTTTGACTAAGTGGAAAATACTGCATTTGAAAAAAGCAATTGTAGGGTAATATGAAAAACACTATTTGTTGTGCAGTTTACTTGGCACTTAATCTTTTCTATATCTAAGTGCTATCCTTCACCTGGATGCTATGGTTAACCTATTGAAATATATGATAGTCCTATGACGTGTCAACTAGTGTGAGACCTGGTAAGGGAGGATACTTATTTGCACATATGCTATACTGAATTATTTCCGCTTATTTTTTTGTGTCAAAACACTTCCAGGTTTCTTTGGGTGATGGGCTTTTCTTTGTCCATTTCACTTCAGAACAAATTACGCCGTGCTGTTCCCCGACGCCATCTAGTGTGCCAAGTATTGAGAAGATCGTTGATCCTCGTCCTTCTGGGCCTCGTTCTGAATTCGAACAAAAATATGTCTACAATCGCCGATCTGAGGTTCCCAGGAGTGTTGCAGAGGATTGGAATCTGCTACCTCTTCGTCGGTTTGCTTGAAGTTGTCTTCACGAAACGTACAGAAATTGAGGTAATTTACTTTGCACTATTGTATTACTATCAATCATAGGTTTATCTTACATACAAAATTAGTTCAAATATTTGCAGTGGACTTGTTGCACAAATTTCAATCTTATGTCTGTTCACAACTGAGATAAAAGACACATTGAAGTTGAAATTCTTGACATGGTTAATTCACCTTAGCAGCAAACATAAGCAAGCATTTGGGGTAAAATGATTTCTTGATTCAGCTGTGTGAAGTGCGATAATACTGTGCTCTGTACATTATTAAATAGAATTCTGTACTGCAATGACAAAAATCAACGATCTCATTTGACTGACATGTAATCACGAACATATGTTATCAGAAATACCTGGAGTTTGAATATTCGGAATGGTTCACGTGATACTCAGTCAGAAGAGAATCGCATTTATACAAGGGATGTCTTTTAAGTGTTGCATATGGAAATAAAACAACACGGTAGGTAGTTTTAAATGACTTTATTGTTTTTCGAAGTATTCTCCACGAAGATTAATACACATCTGCATGCGCTCGAACCAATTTTCGAAGCACTTATTCCACTCGTTTGCTGGAGATCCAAAACGGAATTTTTGAATGCGTCAACTGCTTCTTCTTTGACCACGCAGTCTGTTTTTAATTTTCGGGAAAGTAAAGAAATCGTTAGGATTTAGATCGGGACTATATGGAGGATGGTCCAATAATTCCACGTTTTCTTCCGTTAAATACTGCCTTGTTTTTTTGGGTTGTGTGCGAGCTTGCATTGTTTTGGTGGAGGATGAATCTTCTTTCGGGGTTGATTTTTCGAAGCTCGGTGATGACTTTTGGCAATCAAATGGTTGTATATCAATCCGCTGTAACAGTTATTTGCTCACTAAGAGGAATTGTTGCAATATGGCCCGCTTTTGACACAAATGTCGCGACCATCTTTTTCGAAACACTTCGAGAACGGATGACTTTTGTTGGCTTTTCTTCACCTTGGAACATCCAAACAGCCGACTGTCGTTTACTTTCTGGTTCATAACAGTAAATCCACGATTCATCACCACTAACAATGCTGTACACATTTTTTGAGTCAGTCAACAGGTGGGGTATCTAACGAGAAACTAATTTTATTCCTCCTAATTCTTCATGTAAATTTTTTTGAATTGAGGTTTTTGAGATCTTCAAGGACGCCTCAATCTCGCGATTTGTCACATGTCTATCTTCAATGATGAGTTTGCGCACAGCATCGACGTTTTCCTGGGTGACTGCCGTTTTTGGTGCACCCACCCTGGGATCGTCGCTAAGACTCACCCGCCCACGTTTGAATTCTCCATACCAACGGGATCTTGTCGACTGATGTAGCGCTTCATTGCCGAAAACAGACAGTAACTCAGCAAGGCATTCTTGTTGCGATAATTGTCTCTGAAAGTTGTAATAAATTATGGGGCGAAAATGTTCTCGGTTGAGTTCCATTTTTCTAATGACTTGGTGACACTTAAAAATTCACTGTAGCGAGAACACTGCACGTATTGTTGTGAAACTTTGAATTTAAGTTTACTAAAGAGTGGGGTTAAGATTCAGTACTGACGTTCGATCCGCGCGGCCTACTGTGTTTCTATATGCAAAACTTAGAAGACATCCCTTGTAGTTAAAAATGCTGTAATATAAATCATTGGTGCTCGTTCTTGGGGGTTTTTCTAAATATATTTTTTAATCGCTATTTTTTTTAGAATATATCGCCAGTGTACGACATAATCTCGGCATGGCCCCAGTGGTTCATCGTCTCCATTTTGGTATTCATCCACACATGCGTCACCTTCCTGGCCGACGTACCCAGATGTGGACGCGGTTATTTGGGCCCAGGAGGTTTGGATGAGGGTGGCAAGTACCAGAACTGTACTGGAGGGGTTGCTGGGTACATCGACAGGGAGGTGTTTGGTGATCACATGTACAGGCATCCAGCGTGCGAGAGGGTCTATGAAAACGCGGTCTATTTTGATCCTGAGGGTAAGGAACGTTCAACATTTTTTGAAAATAAATTAACTGAAGATATCAGATGTTTTTGAGTCAGAGATAGCCAAATCTATGGTCTAGTAACTTAGTAGCATGACCTTATATTTTCCATGCCCTCTGAAATTGATAGTTGGGCTTGGAAATATGATCACGTTCTATAGGTATCCGCAAAAAGTCGTTTTTTTCTAATTTACGATTTTTAAATACATTTTTTCCGACATAGGAACAGAAAAACTAAGATCACTGAAGATTTTGTATCAACTGTCTAAAGCTATATTACAAAATGCAGTTTTGGCGGAAAATTCATGGACATACTTAGAACACAAAAAGATGAATATGACAAGTTCTTATAGAAATGTCACAAGGAACTCAATTCCTCATAATTACAGTTAAAGGTTGAAGGTATTTACTATGTGTATTAATTTTAGGTATTTTGGGCACTCTGACATCCATACTAACAGTATATTTTGGTGTACAAGCTGGAAGAACACTGAACACCTATCAGAGTATCAGGGCAAAAATAATTCGGTGGGCCATTTGGGGCGTTACTACCGTAAGTATCATTACAATTCTGAAACCATAATCATTTTTACGACAACATGCACATTACAGATAAAATTTGAATCTTTAAAAACAATATTTGACCGAAATTTTTTAATAACTAAGATAAGTAATTTACGTTGTGCGATAAAATGATTTAAAATTGTCGTTACTGTATTATGGGGGTCAACAAAATGGAACAATGCGTCCAGTTAGATGCAGACTTTTCAAGGATTTGTTGCGATTTCAGTAACCTTTAAAACAAATACTTATACAGGGTTTGTCCGGAAAGTAATAGGACTGAGTCGATTTAAAAAAATTTATTGAGCCAATCGTTACAATTCTTTAAAAACTTTCAAAATAGGCTCCTCCGGAATAGCCTTGAGAGCCGCGGTGCATGCTGCTTGGATCCCCTCTGTCGTCTCAAAATGCTTGCCTTTCATCGGCCTTTTCAGGCGAGGAAACAAAAAAAAGTCCGGATGGGCCACATCTGGGCTGTAGGGCGGCTGCGGAAGCGTTGGGATGCCGGTCTTGGTCAGGTAGCTGTTCACAATAAAGGCGGTGTGAGCCGGGGCGTTATCGTGGTGCAACTTCCAGTCGGCTGCGATGTCTTGTCGGACCCGACTGACCCTTCGTTTGAGTCTCCTGAGCACTTCCACGTAAAACTTGGCGTTGAAGGTTTGTCTAGGAGGAACAAATTCATGGTGGACGATGCCTTTGATGTCAAAAAAGACGAGCATCGTTTTCACTTTGGATTTGCTCATTCCTTTTTTGGGCGAGGAGATGCCGTCGTGTGCCACTCGGAAGATTGCCTCTTTCTCTCGGGATCATACTCAAAGATCCACGACTCGTCACCTGTGATTACGTTATTCAAAAATTGGGGGTCACTTTCACACATGTTCAAATTTTCTTGGCACACTTCCACTCGCCGCAATTTCTGGTCGTCAGTGAGAACTTTTGGGACCATCTTCGCGCACACCTTGCGCATGTTCAAATGCTGTGTCACAATGTCATGAACCACAGGTTTTGGTAAATTTAACATCTGGGCAATTAATCGAATACTTAGTCGACGGTCTGAGTTCAAAACTTTGCGCACACGAGTCACATTATCGGTGTTTGTCGAAGTCGAAGGTCTTCCAGCACGGTATTCATCAGTGACCTCTTCCCGGCCCTCAAAAAAGTCCTGGTGCCATCGAAACACACCACTTCTTGCTAAAGCAACACCTGGGTAAGCCTGCTTGATCATATCAAACGTCTCTGTCGCAGAGTTACCGAGTTTCACACAGAATTTATTCGCGTACCTCTGCTCTAACGAACGCTGCATTTTCGGCTTGCACCACTCACAGAAACACGTCACGCGAAAATGCCTGTCCTGACTCTCCAAGTGCTCGGAGACAACTGACCAGCCGCTCATTCGTTAGCTAGGAACGCCCTCTACCGAATCCAGTCGGTGCGCGCACGCTCCGAAGTACAGTCATGGCGGAAGAAAATGAGTCCTATTACTTTCCGGACAAACCCTGTATGTCTTTTCACCGATTATGGCGGGTTCAGTAAAACTACTTGTATTACTTTCATACCTCCATCTTCTGCACGAATACACATGGAATCTGTATAGCCTTCTATTTTGGTGAAACTAGTGTTGCATGTGGTGCATATTTCAAGTTCTTTTGACAGCTAACAATGGGTATAGTCATGCTCTTTTGGTCCGTACATTGAACTAGTTTTGCAGTCGTCACACGACCACCTGGAGGAGTTTGTGCTCGCGTTGTCAACAGCTGTCAACAGTGTCAGATTTTTGCAACTTTTCTTACTACTTGTATGAGGTAAATGTTTGTAAAGCTGCTGATGTCAGTCATACTTTACTTTGAAACAATTTGACTCATCCCTGTTTGAAACCTCCAACAAAGGCTTAGGAAGTATAGAGTAAATCTACTTGACGCCACTATTTGTTTCAGGGCCTTGTGGGCGGAGCATTGAGCGGTTTCTCTCGTGATGACGGTCCAGTACCTTTAAACAAACAACTTTGGTCTCTTTCATTTGCTCTTGTCACCTCAGGCATGGCTTTTATTATCCAAGGAGGCCTCTTCCTCATCGTAGATATCCTACGCAAATGGGGTGGTCGACCCTTCTTCTACCCAGGCATGAACGCCATCATACTTTACGTGGGACACGAGCTGATGAGGGATACTTTCCCCTTCGGTTGGAAGCCTACGTCCAGGACCCACGGTACCTTCCTATTTATGAATCTCTGGGGTACCTTCCTGTGGGTCGCCATATCTATTTTTTTGTATAAACGTAATATATTCATGACGATTTAAAGAGTGATATATGCTTATGAAGTTATGTTTATGGTAGAGGAGTGTATTATATTAATCATACTCAAGTTTATATGTTCTAGGCTAGTGTATTTTTATTGCTCAGTTGACTGATTTTTTTGGATATTGATTGGTATGTGTATTTTAAGAACCTTGAATAAATTGAGTACTTAGTAATTTGTTGTTATACCTAATTCAATCCTCCATGATTGTCTGGCCGCTAAATAAAACCGCATATGCTTGAAACACTATTTACTGAAAAGTCGTCAATAAACAGTATTTCAAACATACCAGGGTGATTCACAAGTCGTGACCAAAAATGAAACATTATATACAGGACCGCATTTTAAGGGGGGTTTTCTATGTAACATTTTTTCCTTGAGGGCTTCATTAAAAAGATTCGGGGTGTTGAAGTTCAAAAATAAAAAACAATTTTTTTTAATATCATCAAAACCGTTAACTAGAATGAACTAAAATTTGGTATGTGGATTTACCTGAGTATTGTCCACATTCAAAAGTCCTTACTTAAAATTAACGTGCACCAATGGAGGAGATACAGGGGATTAGTGGCATTATTTTTCCAAATAAAAATACTACGCCACTGTTTTTTTTTCGATACGCCCAATTTTTCGAATGTTACCTTTAATTTGCTACAAATACAAAACAAATTAGATAATCAAAGCTATATTTCAATAAATGTTCAAAAAGATAAGATAAAGAAAAACTTATTTCTGCAAAATTTGTTGTGACTTGAATTTGATGAAACGCATTTTTAGAAAATCTGTGTAGGTACCAGTGGATTTATACAGAACTGGGGTTTTCTATCAACCAAATATGTTCATTATGAGATCGTAAAAAGCGATTCATCTGACCACAAAACCAAATCAATAAAAATCTACATTTTGATAATGCATTTGCAGTAACCACTCACAAAAATTTCGCCGTTGTACTTCGTCGCCGGGTTGCAGACATTGCACATTTTGCCGACGGTAAGGATGTAAAACTTCCCGATTTTTAATTCTCCACGCAAGCCTTTGCGAACATGGTAACTGGGCTGCAATCCGCCTAGTAATTGTACTAGGATCATCCTACGCCAAATTAATCACTTCCAGTTCCTCTTGAACAGTATGCCGGACACCATGGCCTCTAACTCCGGGAAGTTTGGCAATTCCATAATGCCGAAGTCATAGAAATGAACGCGGAAAAACCCTTGTAGCAGGTTGGCGTCTGTTGATACTCCTGAAAAGCCGCTAAAGCATTTCCATTTCAGAACCCGTACACAAAAATAATATCCGCGTACTCATCATTGCTAAATTCCCATTCACTACACTCAAAAATGGAAAAGTGAAACTTTTCACTTGACTTTTACAAAAAAAAAAAAAACGGTATTAGTAACGATAACAACCGTATAACACATAACTTTAAAATTATCCGAGATGGAGTGAGATCCTAGCGTAATCAATGAGAATTTTGCAACAGCTAGGTTTCTTCCCTCTGCAATAACTAGAAATCTACTTTGGAAATGTTAGTGTCTCATAGATGGCAGCGAAGACAATTGTATGTTGATTTATGCGGATTGAGTAAAATGGATGATACGATGGAAATTGTATGTTAACATCCAAAAACAGCATATGTTTGAGAATACATCGATAAATTGTTGTAGCATAATTGCGATGAATATTAGAAATTAGGGCTAACATCAGTTACAAAAAACTTGCACACAAACCTACAGAATGCAATCAGGTCAAGAATACGTATGCTATTTCTTGTTATTTCAAAGGTATTCACAAAAGTATACTATAACTATTAACCTTATTTAATCCGCTTCAGAACAAACATGAGCACTCTATCGCTGCTTCTATGTGTTTGTTGCTGCCTGCCCAGGCATTTTTGGCTGGCTGGTGTTTATTTTGACGGGGAGTAAATGTGATTTGAAATTTAAATACACAATTTAAATTATGCATTTAAACCATTATGTATATTCAACAAACGAGCCAACGTGTCATATGCATTATCTCTCGGTAATAAGGGCAATGGAATTCAGAAAAATCAAGGTAAGTGATGAATGATTATTTTGCTATGACGGTTAAACCGGTGCTGTTGTCTTGTCAGTACTGTAATGATAGGTCCAGATAAGGAATATGGGAGTAGAAAGTGAGACCTTGTCCAGTATTGTTCACTTGCCTTTTAGTAACATACCTGTAGTTCAAGTTATTTATTGGAGTATATTATTTTCTGACAAGATATTGCTTTATTTTAGAACGACAAATGAACAGAATTGTAGATAATTAGCGGCAGTGGCGGATCTAGGATCTAAATGGCAAGTTTATCAAATATAAAAAAAAACAATGTTAATATAGTTTAACTCTAAAAAGAGTATATTGAGTATATTTAATCCATGAGCAGAAAAAGTAAAAACTCTCTCTAACAGTTAAAACACAATTTTGCAAAGTTGTGATGCAATAAGTTCCAAATAAGTGACATCCCCTGTCTTTAGAATATGACATTGCATTTGTCATTAAGGCCCGTATCGTCAGTCGTCCCTACAATTGTAGGGCGCCTTTATGGCCTCCTTGATTGTCATAGCACAGCCGACGTCAACTAGTAGTTGACGTCGGCTGTGGTCATAGTTTTCTACTTCTGCGTGTCAGCGCTCTATTTTGAGGTTATGTCACAAACATCTATTTGAATCAAATTGTGCTTGCTTTTGAGTTATATCATGCTTTATCAGCCTGAAATTACCTACAATTTAAAAAGAAAACATATCTTCACAATAGGAGAGCGCTGACGCTGATACGGGACAAGTGTAATCTAGAAATTTTTGAAGGAGAGAAAGGAGTATGACAATCAAGGAGACCATACGCGCGCCCTACAATTGTAGGGACGACTGACGATACGGGCCTAAAGTATTATTGAGGGTAAGAAAATATCAGTTTCTCTTTGGCATTAACAGTTTCATTTCAAATAACATATGTTCACGTACTGCCCGTATTCGGGATCGGAATTATAACTTCTATTCCTTGTAACTCCTGTAGCAGAATATATACATATAACATTTGAAGAAGCTCTCTTTCAATGTACACCGATACGTGTGTTGAAAATATAAAAAATCATACAAGATTTTAAGGGGAAATTAGCGGGGAAATCAATGTATAAACATACGAACGCCAAACAATTGAGATATACACCCTCCCTCACCTCATACAACCTCTAACCAGCAATTTTTAACCACTACACAATTTTTTCTGAAAATTTTCAGGAGTTTGAAAAGTCAAAAAGATGTGCTTATATTTATTTTTTTCGTGTTTTACTTATACCTCCACCGCCATTGGACCAACTTTCAACGAGCCTAAGATTAGCGGACAAACCGAACGACAGCCAGACGGAAGGAATTGAGTGACATGGTTTACGGTGTACTTGTTCTATAACACCCAAAAAACATAATATCTGATTTTCGAAATTTTTCGTGATTTATACTTCCTTCCTGTTAGGCATGCGAAGTAAAAAGTATATTAACGACGTCATCCAGTTAAATTGAATTGGAAATGGTATAATGTTCCAGAAAAGTGAAAACCGAAAGTGTGCTGAAGATGATAAAGATAACATATGCGGGTATATATCAATTAAAACATGTTCAGAGGATATTTAGAAGTGAAGTGGTTGTTATAATCGCGCCAATGTGGGTAGATTATTGCATTTAAGCTCTCAATCAACATTCGTAGAATCTACAATTTGTGCAAAATAAAACAATCCTGGGTCCGTTACTGGTTCGTTTGCTACACGTTTGCTGGCAAAGCCCCTGCCTACCCCTTGAAATATTTAATATTATTAGTCGATCAATATTTATTGAAATGTAGATAGATAAGATAATATATGATTTTATCTGGATACGTATTTGCATTTCTGCATATTTATTATTAAAATAATTATTTACATTACATTCCATCCATCTTATATAGCACTCTAGCGCAATCATTCAACACAGCAGCTATGGCCGAGCGGTTAAGGCGTCTGACTAGAAATCAGATTCCCTCTGGGAGCGTAGGTTCGAATCCTACTGGCTGCGAAAACTTTTTTTCGTATGTCGTTGGAAAAAAGCCTTTTGCATATAATGATAGAAAATAATAAAAAGAAAATACGACACTTGAAATAGTATTAATATTATCTATCAGATACAAAACCACTGCAAGTGTTGAAATCATTTTTACTCCTGAAAATATGCTATCCACTTATTAAATCATATGATCATCCTTATCACACCTGATGCTTCACGCGCACCTTTTTCAATTTACTGTTTTTTTAGGAAGTCGATTGCCGTCTGCAAACCTGATCGATTAGCAAGTCAAAAAAATAGATAAACATACCTCCAATAATGAGACAAATATGGGAAGTGAACAACCTGAGTTTGAGTAATTAATTCAGGCCTTAGTATGTCCCATCCATTTAAACTTTTAGGTACACGAAACTTCATTACACCTACAAGCTCCCTAAAATGTTTTCAGAGAGAACCTAATCACAATAACGTTGAGAAATATCGATAAACGAAGTGTGAGACTAGTAAAAACTCCAACCTACCCAAAAATGATTAAAAACATCGAAAACGAAGTTAGAAAGCATTCTAAAATATTCGTTTTCGGTTAAAAAATTGAAAAAATCAGCTTAAGAATAATTGGGATGGGATCATCATAGCAGCCGCGGTGTTCCGGCATTTAGGCTTCTACCTGCGCGGCTGTTTCGATATATAAAAAAAAAAAATTTCTAGATTAAATGAAAATTTGTTGATAATGTTGAGATCATCTTGCTCATTCAGAATTGAGCTGATTCTATAAAATTGATGCTAATATAATGCAAACTTTAGCAAAATTAGCAATAAAAATCATAAAAAAGCGAACAAACACCAATCACCTACCAGGCAAATATTTTTGGAATGTGGCTCGCCTGTTCACCTTCAAAATGAAAACGAACAGCAAAGGTATTGCAACGCTTCGGGCATCCTATTTTTTATAACTACAATAAAACATGCAGGTGTATTGTGTACAGTATCGAGCAAAAATGTAGAATCTTCGATCCAAAGTAAACACTTCTTTTAATGCAGCCTTTCGGAGTATTTGGTCTATGAAATATCTTGGATTCTGCTCCTTTTGGTGACAAGAGATCGAAAGCTTAACCGGAGAAGC